ACCTCCAAAAACTATACTAGTATTACTTAGCCATAGACTTGAAAAGTGATGTAGAAGTTCCAATAGTGATTTCTCCTTTTCCAACTATTAACTTCAATTCAAAATTGATATATAGCTTGATCTTCAAGTCTTCCAAGACCATGCCAAATTTTACATTGATTCGACTAATAGATCTCTAGATATCATAGAAACCCTATCTAACTCCAAACTACCAACTTCTCGTATATTCTTGCACCAAAACCTAGATATCTTTCAATTTCATCATTGGATTATTACAAAAAAATTTATACACTTAGCAAACCCAACAATCCAAATAGTAAAAAATTTTGAATCATAGATGTTATACCAATTACACAAACTAATTAAAAGTACTAGCCCTAATTGTATCACATAAAAATCCAAATCACCAATACAAACCCTGATTTTGAAAAACAATTTTTAAGCCCTTATAAACCCTAAAAAAATAAGTCTTATGCCTTCGAAAATAGCTTGAAGCTAAATCTTAAATTCTAATCCTTGATCTTTGAATGAAACCGTATTTTGTCCTAAGCCATCATTTTAGTGGCCAAAGGTCTGATTTTGATCCTGTTCCACAAATGGTCGATCCCTCGGTATCAATCTAATCTATCCTAAAGGATTTTTAGCCCAATCCTATCCTCAACTTAACCTAAGTATCAACCATATTAATTATTTACCTCTCTTAACCTGATTTTATCAATTTATGGTCTTTCTAAGGTATTAAAAGAATCTCTATAACCTAGAAGGTAAAAGTACTAACCAACCTTCAACCTACTAACTATTAAGATAAAAAATAACTTAAAAGGCTTTTATAAGAGCTATTTTTAGATATCTTAAATTATTATTGAATCAAGATAATTATACATTAATTAGAAATTTAATTTTGATTATAGTTTCACTATATAGTCATATTATATCATGACACTGCTGCTCATGGTGCCTTCTCAATTCTCCTTCAATTTGTCCCCTCTTACTACATCTTAGAACTTTTCTCTTCTAAGATTTCATTTTTCTTTCTCTAAATGCTTCCAAATCTACTTACATTGATGCTTTTCTGTTAATATGTGTTTTTTTCATAGCTATATTGATATTAGTGTTGACATGAAGTATTTCCTTACATTTTTTTAATGTTGCCCATCTTCTAGATCTTTGCTTTCACTCAGTAACATTCAAATTTTATTTTAGGATTGATGTTTTTAATTGATGAATTGGATACTTATGCTTGAATGAATCCTAAGGTCAATGCCATGTTTTTGGACTTCTTAAAAAAATTATCATAGTTTATATCTTGATGTTGTAGCTGCCATTTTATACTAACTTTCTTATATTAATGAGTTGTAATATCTCTCAACAATTTTATTTCCATTATATTTGTCTAATTATTTTGAGGTGAAAATTTTCTAACTAATAAGATGTAAGATAAAAGTAGAAGATTCATAAATGCTCCATCAATTTGGATCATGGTTTTAAAAAGTAGCCATTTCTTAAAAGGGCTATTTTTCAAGTAGCTATCAAATGTATCTTTTACCTACATTTTAGTTCTCATCTTAACAAGTTGCATTTTAAATCATGTTTAAATGTATTCTACTTGAATCAATTTGGACAGAAGATTCTTTTCTTCAATAGTATATTTCTTAATAAATTAGATATAGAATTTGAATATTTAGAAGCATTCAAATATATATATATATATATATATATATACATATATATATTCATGTACTTGTATAGAATTTTCTATGCTTCATCCAACTTGATAAGTAAAATATACAAACTTTCATAAGTTAGCTATCAAGGAATTTGTTGATTTATTTTTGCTCTTTTAACTTGACAATATTGTGCTGATTTTATCTTCTTCTTTTGGCATGTGTTCCACATATTTTTAGCTACTCATGAATACTAATAAGCTACTTCCAAATAACTATTGCAACCAAAATTATCATAATCATTTCTTAACTCTCATAATACTTTGCTTAACATCTGTTGATAATAATATATGTAGTAGGTCCTATGACTACCAATTAGCTTAGAGGTTATTAGATGACACTAAGCTTGAGCATAGTGATTAACTAAAGCTTTAATTCATATACATTGATTATGACGTGTGTAATTTTGAAAATAGTTTATTCTCTTAACTTTCTATGTTCAAGTCTCTCTCGATAATTAAGCTAGTTGTAAAAAGAGTAGAATTTTTTCTACTTCAAATTACATATTATGATTCTATTATTTTCTTATTTTTAAAATTTTAAAATATTGAATTCACTATTTTGTGTTCTTTATTTTGTTTCTATAGATTAGTAGCAACCACTAAGGATCTTTGTGATATAATATCATTACTTGCAATTATAGGCCAACATACATTTTAAAAGATAAAACAATATATCTTATCATTTTCTTTTTTTTTTATGAAATAAATGCCAATCAGTTTTGATTTCTATACATGCCAATTTAGAGGATTGACAACAATGAAACTTTTATATCTTTCATAGGATTCAGTTTAAAGGATTAGGATTAACTAGGATTGTAGATTTATTGAAGTAGCTAAAATTATTATGTTCAAACTTGTGTTGTCTGATCACAAAAATAATATTATTTATTTATTTATTTATTTTATTTATTTTATTTCTTCATAAGAAATTAAATTTTTTGGTGCATAATAACTAGTATTGAACATGTTCTTGAATTATTCCTTAATTGCAATTGACTATCAATCAATTGTAGTAATTGATAATTTGTAGCATGTACACCTATATTTTTATTTGTAATGGCATATTTGTAGATAGACTAATCCGTGCAATATTCCAAGTTTTGAGACTCACTTGAATTTATGAAATATTTCAAGTGTATGGAACTTACTAACTTATGACAATTATTGCAAGTCCAGTTTTGGAGCGTTGAATCATTACCAAAAGCAAGTAGTGTCTAGATTTATACTATTGTTTTGATTGAAATTTATGGTATGTAAATATCCTCAATCATAAGCCATTTCCTACTCCTTATTTATCTTGCTAGATATGTTTGTTACATGTTTATATGATTAGTAATTACTATATAAGTATTAAGAATTTATTCTACTCTAATCTAGGTCTATATTTGTAATACGTTTTGTTGAAGATTTGTTTGTAGTATTTAAAAGCAATAAAGCTGCATCTATAAACTTTATTTAAGTCATGATAAAGTGCTTAATTTTAATTCTTGCAAGACTTGATTTAGACATCTATGTAGTAATGATGTGTTTTCTTTCTCTCTGTTGCATCATCCACAATTTATCATAAAGATAGTAATTCTTATGTATATTTTATTGATATATATATATATATATATATATATAGATAGATAAATAAGTATTAATGCTTTGTCTTCAATTGATATCACTCCACCTCATGTGTCGTCTTTATAGACAACTAGCTAATAATATGCTACTTTCTTTTGTGCATTTTTTCTTTTCTTTGGTTTAAGAAATGATGGTGGTTGAAAGAGAGACCATGAATATTTTATGAAAAATCAAGTTGCACACTATTTTGTTTTATTTTTTTTTGTTTTTTTTGTTTTGTTTTTTTGTTTTTTTCTAAAAACAAAATATCTGTCTTAGAAATCAAAATTTTTACCAAAAAAAGATTTCTAAAATTCTATGTTTGGATCAATATTGGATCAATATATTTTATTTAAATATTAGGTTGCCAAATTCACCTTAAGTATAGAAGCATACTTTTTAGTCAATTTAAGTTGTATAGAGATCATGTGGAGTGTACAAATATCAATTGGAAATATAGCATTAATAACTTTCTATATATATTAAATCTAAAAATATCTTGATTAAATTCTATTTATTTTTTAAAATCTGATTTTAAAAAATCTAATAATTTTTTTATATTATTATATTCTTATAAAGATTAATAATCAAAGAAAAAATTGGGTCTTTTTTAATTTCGTAATTTATTTTTAATATATTAAAGAACACCATCTCAAATTCTAACCTATTTAAGTTTTTATTAGAGTTTTGGTTTTACAAATCTTGTGAATTGTTAGATTATGTCATGTCTCAGACTATCCCATCTACCTATTTAGGCTACTAAAATTCTAAATTCCAAAAAGAAAAAAAAATATAGATCTAATCAAATATTAAAGTCAAAAATGCAAAAAGTAAAAATATCTGAAATTAACTTTGTAAAAATGATAAATATCATTTAGGAGTTATTAGGATTCTAAAACTCCTAAAATACAAACATCTTCAAACTTGTAATTAACCATTAGAAATGCAAATTATAAAAATTAAAAATTTAGGTCAATTTAAGTTTTTAATATAAGCATGTCAAATTGTTTTAGAATATTGTTGTGTTCTAGAATTAAATCCTAAATTCTCATAGATTTTAACTTGAAAAAAAATTATGGATAAATTTTTAAAAATTTGAAAGAAATATTGGTAATATATCAATTAATAGAGGAAAAGGATTTATTTATTTTATTTTTATATATAATGTTTTGAAAGATATATAAACGTTTAGGATTCTAAATGTTTCACAATACTGATAAGTATTAAATCTAGTAGATTTTATTAATAAAAAATTAATGTAAATTAAAAAAATCAAGAAATAAACCAACTAATAAAAGTTTCTATAATTAAAATTCTAAAAACTAATAGAGTATTCTAAATCCACTACTAGATTAGTAGATCTGAAAAGTATAGATGTATATCAAATTGAAACTTAAAATGCTATATATTTGTATTATTAACTCAAAAACCAGATAAATCAAATCCTTAATGAACAGTTTGATTATACAATTGCACATTGAGAATCCAAAATACAATAGATAATAAATTCTAAACTCATAAAAAAACTTCTTATTTTAAAATTAATTTAATTTTTGACCTGGGCAGAGCACGTAAAACCCAACTATTGGCCAGAGAGTGTTGCAAATCCCCCATGGAATTATTCAGGTCATTCCTTAGCTTATACAATTTTAGTATTTTTCAAACCACATATTCCAAATTTATGTGTGTTATTGACCTGTGAACAACTTGATTCATATGGAACGTTTTTTAATTAGCATGATCCACCCTATCGTCCCGGGATGGGACCTCCAGATAATTCATGGATTGGACCTTATCAATGAAAACGACTATGTCCTGAGGAACATTTCTGAACCAGGAATCCAGAAATCAACAATAATGATGTGAAAAATGTAAATAGCTCAAAACTAAGATACTTTGATCTTTCATAGCTTTCTAATTTAGACAGAAAATAAGACCAAAATCAGTCATCTATTGGAATCTCAAGACAATGTCCCTTCGTCACTCTTGAATTCTTGTTTATTTTCCGAGTCATTCTCATTCTTGGAGTCTTGATTATCTTCCAATTTATCTGAAGTGACATCTGCTGCACTGGAGGCGTTGATTCGGGGTGTATCTGTTCGCACCAGAGGATCCACTGGGGCACCGCCTGGTATTAAACTTGGCTCCTTACTAGGTTGTTTCTCCAGCTCTGGATTAGTGAGCATCCGTAAGTTGTACTTGGCAAGCTCCTTGAATTCACGAACTATTCCCAAAGCACAAGTGGTCTGAACAGCAACAATGTTGACAGTGAATTCACATTATCATCCAGAAAACTTTCAAGTGGCTAGTCTCTTGCACAAGGTCGCTGGTATTACTCAGAGCAAACGATAAATGCGATGCCGCGTACCAGACTACTGTGTACGCTTTCTAATCAAAGAAAATGTACCAATTCCTAAAGGAAGATAAACCACGTGAAAATTAGATGAAATATGTTTCGCACCTTCACTATCTGCAAGAGAATAGTCTTCTGAGGATTTCTGAGGTCAACAGAATGAGGTTGTGGAACGATTTTTGCAACTGCATTGATGAGCTCCATCTTGTCTATTGAAGTGTTTGCTCGGGCCTCAATGGCTACCGCGAACTGCAGACAAGTGTAACCAGCTGTCAATGTCAAAAGTGTTTTCAAGAAAGCAGTTTTAAGAACTTTCCATAAACCTAAGAGTATCATAATACTTGTAATCGCTTAAATTAAAATGAGTAAGAGTCTTTAAAAGGATTACTTAAATACTTAGAGGAATTAGCTAACTTTATCAGCACAATATAATGCGTCGTTTCGTCTTACTCTACTAGCCACTAACTGAAGACTCAAAGAACACCTGTAAGAATAGTACCTTGAATGTAGGGTACCCCTCTCCAACAGGGAAATGCCGAGCTACCATAGCTTTCGCAGCTTTCGCCACCTCTGCTGCTGATGCATAACATGTTGTCTCTACAGGTATTAATCGCATACTATATCTGAACACCAATACAAATAGGGTGGCGTTAAAAATTCTGCATAAAGTGGGGTTTGTATCTGTATCGAGAAGTTGGTCGAGTAGTAAATCTAAACGCGACTTCAAAACCTGATGGTTTATAGTAACTATTCAAGTAACGGAATGTTACCTGGTCCTAGATTTTTTGGTAGCAGCTGCATCTCGTATGATTGCTTCCGCGAGTTCCATCGGGCTCCGCTGGGCAGCTGCATCCTTGAACATACGTACAAAAACTACACCGTGACAGCCTGTCTCACACCCAGAGAAACGTGCCTGCAGAAAGTTTTAACTACTCTCTTAGCACATCAGCAATTAGCGTGTGCTCTTCAAAGGAATGAAGCGCACTGTCTTATCCATAAGAAAGATTCATAGGCAGTGCAGGACGTGTTACTCCGGCATGGGTAGAAACCCCCTCCTCCTACTGACATGCAGTATTCTGATTTGCATGCAAATCATCGATTGAATGACAACTGGGATCAACTTCCGCATGATCCACGTAAGAGTGTTACACCGTTGTCAACGATGGTCAACAGCGAGCCACTTCCTTGGAAGGAGGCTACCAGTTCCATTGAATTTTATGTAACCAGGCAAGTCTTAGTATATGCGCAAGGTTCGACGCAACAAATGATATTACTCACAATTAGTTAGACTTAGACCTGGAATACTAAGGTAACTTCTCTGATGGGGCTGGGTCTAGTGACACAAGATAGAGAATCAGTGTTTGTGCTCACCTTTTTCTTGGTCCGAATCTCATCAATTTCTGCAGCAAGAAGCTCGTCAATCCCACCGCTTCTGCTTTTGACTTCAGTGGAGATTGGTGCTACAGCTGGAGGTGCCAATTTGGACACTTTTCTAGCACCCTCATCATCACTTTCATCACTCTCGTCATCTCCACTTTCTTCTGAATGTTCTGAAGTGCCACTGTTGCCAGTGCGATCATCAAAACCTCTTGCATCCTCTGCTTCTATGCGAATCGGTAGACCTAATGGAGGCAGAGTGCTCGGCCTATCAAAAAACTGCATACAACAACATCAATAGCACTTCAGAGTTGAGTTAACACGCTAACAATACTGAGCTCAACTCATTAAATATAAATACTACCAGAACTTATAATTTTTCAGAAATGATTCTCTAACAAACAAGAGGTATTTTACACTGCTCCAAGTTAATTTTCGAGAACTTTAAGAGGAAAAAAAGAAAAAAAAAAGAAAAAGAAAAAAAAAAAACCTCATCAAGAACGTTGCTAATTTCCTGAATGCTGGCTCGCTCTTTCCCCCCAACACAAGTCACCAAAAAACCTTGCTGCCCATGCGAAATTACGGCCTTCTTTTGATTCTGCAATTGGAATTCAAGTAAATGCAACCATATCCCTATACCACGGACCCACGTATTGCATTGCAGTAAAGCATCATCTCAAGTTTGAATACCTATTAACACAGAAGCAAAGCATCCGAAAACTTAATAAACCCCTAAACCTGCGACAATCAAAGTGATAAGCCAAGCACTCTAAATCCCACTTGTTTGCGGCAAAACCCAATTCTAAACTGAAGTGAAAAAGTCCCCTAAGTGAATTGCCAAGTACAGTCCTTTATGCTCGCTAGCAAATTGACTACTGCTTGTCCACTCTGAGACGATAACATAGAGATTCATTCCAACTCCACATTCTTCGGAATAGAGGAGTGTGCTTGGTGCATACGTGAGGCAAGTACTTAGCTCGTCGTCGCTTGCGATCAGCGCTGCCGCCGCTAGCAACGCGACGCGTCTTACCTCCCTCGGCACCCATGCTGAATCAATCGATCAACACTGTGAGCTCGAGAATAAGGACTGGTAGGCACAGACACGGACTGATGCCGCGTCTCCGAAAAGACAATCGGGTTTAGGGATCTTCTCAAATCAGGCGCCTATACTTTACGTAAATGTGCTCAGTTCAGTTCGTAGTTCGAAAACTTACTGAGCAGAAAGAATGTTACAGAATTAGATTCTTTCATAAATGGAAACTTGAAACTACGTTAAGCTGGCAGAAAAACAACATTAGTAGGGTTAGGTGTCCTTTCGCAGGCTTCTGTAACAAAAGACCTGCCGGTGTTACCGGTGGTAACCTACGGGGTAAACTGGATAGAGCCGGTAGTCCGAGGCTGTTTTTCCAGTTCCTCTGAACTATAGTTGGGGGAAATATTGTACCGAAATTTATTGTAAGGATTTCGAAGAGACCTTATTGGCTTCGAAGAGAGGTATATTTGGGGTTTTGTTTGGTCCTCTTGCTTGCAGGCAGGGGTTTTTCGTAGAGATGTCAGTTGGGCTTAGCTGTTTTGCGGAAGAATTTGGTGGGTTTTGGACGGTTACATTCTTGTCAACGGTCTTAGTAGAATAGCCGAGCAGATTTTAATGAAGCTAAAAACAGAGAGTGAGCCTAACGCTTGGAGGGAGTTCTATTGAGATTTGTATGGGAGGGGAGATCATTTGCCTTGCGAGAAAAGCTCAGTTCGCTGCTTGAAGCCTCAGCAAAGCAACAAACTAAGTTTGTTAGACCTATCTGGCGATTGTTTTGTATTTTTATGAAGGGTTCGAGGGGCAGCTCAGCAGGCAGTATGTAAATTGAGGAGGGATCTGTGCATCAATTGCGCCGCCTGCTCAGCTTTAAGCGCTTTTAAATTGGCGGAGGTGGGTGCCGACTTTTCGTTGAAATTTAGCGGTATGATTTTTAGGACTTGGGTATTTCCTTAATGGATCCCACAGTGAGAGAGGGTCACTAATTATGAGGGTCGCTAATTATCAGTGGAATTTGGTAGAAGACCTGGGCAATTGAAGAAGAACGGAGGAGAGGCAAAGCGAGAGGGAAATATGTCTCCTCTTCCCGACCTGGTGTTGAAAGATAGCTGCACGGGATGTCGTGGAACAGCAGACCTCTACGGTAGCAATTGTGGTCACTTAACTCTTTGCTTGAAGTGTGGAAAGTCTATGGCAGAGACTCAGGCTCCTTGTTCTGAGTGCGGCACCCCTGTCACTCGTCTGATTAGGGTAAGTTCAGGCTTAAACTGGTTACTCGAGCTGAAGGCGAGTAGTTGCATTTTTTGGGGGGTTATTATTATTATTATTATTTTTAATACTCTCAAATGGTAGCTCGTTCAATTTTATTTTAATCATGTATGTCTTACAATGTACTTGTACTGAAACAAATGTTGACGACGGTTATTCAGGAGTATAATGTGCGTGCAAATACTATCAACAAGCAGCACTTTATCGGTCGCTTCTTACAGGGGCAGCCGATGTTCTCGAAGAAGAAATCTGGGGGTCCAAGGTGGAGTTTGCAGCGTGAAGGTCTTACGGGGCGCCAGTTGTCCGAAGCACAGAGGGTATGGATTCTACTTTACATGATATTGTTGTATCTCTCTACCATTGTCGTTGCTCTGCATTTAAAGGTTTATATCTGAAGGAGCTTTGAATGTACAGGAAAAATTCAAACAAAAGCTGTGGATACTAGAGGACGATATCGGTCTGCAGCAGTTTCAAGGACAGCTTGAAGGAGGACAGCAAGCAACATACTTTACTCTTTCGATGCATGGTTCTGAGTTTACTGCCTCTCCAGCTGGGGCCTGGTAAGAGTCTTACATTTTGTCACCATGGTTTCAAATTGTTATGTTGTCTCCATAAGCTTGAAATGCGTCCTACTTCTTCTTTTTTTTTTTTTTTTTTTTCTTGTTTTGGTGCTATACTCTATGCGCGAGATAATCTGCATGCTGTGAGAATGCATCGCTAGTATATGTTTTAGAGCGTCATTAAAGCTTGTATGCTGAAACGGAAGGATTGATTTTTCAGGTATAATTTCAACAAAGTAGCCCACTACAAGCAGTTAACATTGGAGGAAGCGGAGGAGCAAATGAAAAATCGTCGTAAGACAGCTGATGGCTACCAAAGATGGATGATGAAAGCTTCTAATCCAGATATAGACAAGCTGCCTGGTTCTGGGGGTGCTGGTGGAGGGCGTGGCAGGAAAGTGGGTGCTGATGACGATGACATGGGTTCTGATAAGGGGGAGGATGAGGATGAAGAGTTTGGAGGGAAGAAGAGGTTAAATTTGAATAAAACTGCTAAAGGAGGTGATGACGATGGTGAAGATGCTGCAAACGACATAGACATGGATGAGGAGGAGCCAGAACGAGGTATTTGCCGTCAGTAAATTCTATTTCTGTGACGTCGTTCATTGCTCTAGGATTTTATGTCGTTAGTAAAACATCCCGTTCACATAACATCCCCTCTATATGACATGTAGTATTACTACTTTCGTGGCATTTTCACGGCAGCCAGATATGCTTAGGGTATATTGTATCGAGCATGCCTCATCATTTAGTTACATTTAATGCTTGTTCATGTTCTCATTGCTCATTTTATTCATTACTTATGAGATTGGTAATAATTCTGCGATCTTGTGGAACTCTTGGGTTCAGGTGATGATTGGGAACATGAAGAAACGTTTACAGATGATGATGAGGCAGTGGGCAACGATCCAGAAGAGCGGGAGGAGCAAGTTCCTGAAGGACCAGCTCCACCAGAAATCAAACAGGTACCTCTAGTTTTTGAGTGGTTATTCGCTCGATTTTGGCATTCATGGGATTTGGAGGGTAAGATGCGTGAAATTTGCAGAGAATTTATCAGTCTCAAAATAGATTACGATCAGTATAAATTTTGTCATGTCTTCAATTGGTAACCATGTTTAAGGTGGAAGCCCAATGACACTTCTAGCAATTTTAAGAAATGTACTCTTCTAGTAGTTTAAACTTCGTAATGGCTTATGTGAGAAGATAAACTCACAGTATCTTTTCTTCAATAGATTATCGCCATCGCTGCAGCTATTGAGTGGTGAAATATCACAGATTTTTTCAAATAGAACATATGTTCTAATATTCCACCAGACATTATGTTGCGTTTTCTTTTGGATGGTGGTTGTCATTCTGGTCTGACTTGTTTGATATCTGTGGTATTTGGGTGATGGAACTTTAGGAAGAAGAAGACGAAGAAGATGAGAAAGAGGGGCAGCAGAACGAGGAGGGGCAAGGAGGTTTAAGTAAGTCCGGTCGTGAGCTCAAGAAGTTGCTTGGTAAACAGGGTTTCGATGACTCTGATGGTGGTGACAATGATAAACAAGCTCTAGACGAATCTGATGGTGATGACGATGTAAGGTTTCGCACGCCTTGGATGCTTGGGTGTTTTCTTGGGTACAGAAGCATTGTGCCTGTGATTTGGCTTGCTTTCACTTATCTTGATTGTTCTTGGCTTGAATGTAGCAGCTGGTGCTATCACTTATGTACATGTTTGCTTGTTATCTAGGTTGACTTGGACAATGACGAAGTAGGAATGTCCCCAGTTTTAGCTCCAGCATTGAAAAAGAAGGATGCCCCCAAGGAAACTCCCGCAGAACCTACTCCAGCTAAAGCAGGGAACGTGAAATCAGCGGCAGCTGGCTCATCAAAGGGAAAGCGGAAAGCTCCTGCTGCAGGAGATGACACCAAACTCATCAGCAACAAGAAGGCCAAAGCAGGAGATGCGGATAAGGTTGTTATTAACTACAAACACGTCTTCTTCACGAGCTCAAGGCTCGTTCTGAGCAGTTTGTATTCGAACTAAAGGAATGACATTCCTTTGAGATGCATGCATGGAGGGGTTTAGAGCATTTACGTGTGCTGAGCAACCAGAACTTATCATTTCAAGCTGTTTTGTCTCTTTTATGCTCAACTTCTTCATTTGGTTTGCAACATGGAAAAGATGTGAGATGCATACTAAACTACACTATTGTGCATTGCGTCTCAGGGGTCGAAAACAGCTGCGGGGAAAAAGGAATCTAACAAAAATGCGCCTGCTAAAGGAACACCTGCTCCAGCTTCTGCAGCTGCTAAGCCTGCGGCAGCTGCAGGAAATTTGGAAGATGAAGTGAAAGCTTTCTTACGACAGACTGGCCCCGTGAAGAGCAATGAGCTGGTTACCAGGTTCAAGAACCGACTAAAATCCCCAGAGGTACGTGTGAATTTATATTTGTTATATGGTTTATGCTAATTGCTATTCGGCAGCAGGGACAAAATACAGTCTGATGTTGATTATTCCATTGTGTTGTTGCTTGGGGATTGTTTAATGCCTCGTCTCTGTTGACTGTTTATAAGCTGTCGAAATGAAGTTATATAGATGTGTACATGTATGTGCAGGACAAGTCTGCTTTTGCTGCAATGTTGAAGAGAATATCTCGTATCGATAAAAAGGATGGTGTAAGTTATATTGTTTTGCGCTAGGCGTGAGAACTGGGTATTAAGTTCCTGACAAGACGTCTTCATTGGTCGTACATGAATTTCCTGAAACTTAAGTTGGAAACTCCCTTGTACAGAGTGAAGTCCAATAGAGATGCACGATATGTTGTTTATTTCAGAATTCTCATTTCACTTTTCTTGCGTAGTTTTAAATTGAAATTTTAGGTAGGAAGGTGCTCACGTCAGCAGAGACCGTTGCAAAAAATGTTATGTTTATAACTTGAGGTTCTCATGTTAACAGACATTGTCTGAAAAATTGCGATATTTTCAGTTTGCCAACTTACTTGTCCAACAAGAAAAGTAAATAAAAATTTAACTGTGAAACCAATGGTTTTATGAAAGTCATGGACAACAATTTTATAACAATCTTGAAGAACTGGATGTAGGGATAAGTTAAAGTAACCAGGGAGCGTATCAAAACCTAAAATCAGAATTTCCAAGCTATAAATTCAAAGGTAGATTAACGACCATGGTTGCTTGTGACACATCATTCACTCATGTACACAGTCAAAAGCCTTACAAATAGCATCCATGTATGAATATTAGTAAGTTTCAATTACTGAGGTAATGAGGTGGAGCCTTATTAAATCGTTTGATATTTAGAGTGCTAGAGTCTCCATTGACATTAGTGTTGAAACAACGATTGCTATTCATCCACCCACCACAACCTTCCATTTGTGTTGAGAGCATTAAATGTAGTTGGCGCTCTCCATAATATTTACTATAGACTACAATAAATACCGTAGCTACAATATTTGGAATGTAGTGGAGAGGAATTGTTTATCCTCTCCCCTTCTCCTTTTATATACGAGACACAACTAGTTCAATAGATTTTTATGTGTGAAGCTCTTTCTCCTTAGCCCTCTTGTATGTATTATTTATTATTACTCTTGTGTGTGTGTGTGTGTATTACTTAGTACTACTCTTGTGTTTTTCTAAACATTCTCAACATGTTATCAGCACGACTCTTTTCTACACACAATCACAATTTTTTTTGCTCTACTCTTCACTCTTCAAACTTGTTACTACTCCTGCTCTCTATCTCACTTATGATCTTGTTGCACTTCTTTTTGGCCCCGCACACATTTGTTGCTTGCTTAGAGCACTTGCTCCACTCTGTGCCCTGTTTGCTTAGAATACTTGCTCCAACTCAGCGTCCCTGCTACGCCCTGCGCTTGCCATCAAACAAGTGCCAAATTGCTGTCAAACAGCCACTGTCGCTGACCATGGATAGCCACCAACCCTGCCACTGCCACTGACTGCTAATTGTTGCCAATCCCACAGCTGATTGCCGTTGACGCCGCTACCGCCTGCCGTTGCCCACCGCCGCCTTACCGCTATCGCCTTGCCGCACTATCGCTGCCACCCTCCCGTCGTCCTATCGCTATTGCCCTCCAATCGCCACTGAGTGCCTCTACTGTTTTACAACTGCTTTATTGCCACAATCTACAACCTTGTGTTTTAAAAATAAAATTAATAAAAAATTAAATTAAATTAAAATTAATAAATAATTAAATAAAAATAAAAAAATTAATATTTTTGATTTCAAGTTCAAGTTTATCATTTTATTTGACTTTATATTTTAAGATACATTTTACTCAACTTTTCTACTTGATCTTGTATTTTCTTTACAGATTTATTTATAATCACTGCTTCAACATTTTCAACTGCTTCTACTATGGTTCCAACTATTATCAATGCATCTCAACATTTTCAAGCTCTTTTATTTCCACCATTGACTAAGGATAGAAGCAATTATCTATTATGGGCAAAAATGGCAAAAACAAATTTATTTGCAGAACAACTCTCAGATGCCATTATGTTTGAAGAATCTCCTATAATAAGTATTTCTATTCCTACTACTATTCATTGGAAAGCACTTCTTCTCTTTTGTCGTCATCTTGTACCTGTATTACAACATCAATATTTGAAAATGGAAGATCCTACAGAACTTTGGAAGAATCTTAAATCCAAGTTTGATCATCAAAATACCATTTTCCTTCCATGCGCACGTCATAATTGGACACATTTACGTATCTTTGATTATTTAAATTTGAATGCTTTAAATAGTAAAATATATAGTATTCTCTCATAAATACGATTATGTGGACAAAGCATCTCTGAAGAAGAAATGATTGAGAAAACTCTCTCTACATTTCTTCCTGCATCTGCTGTGCTTGCACAACAATACAAGAACATGAAATTTTAGAGTCATTCTGATTTCATGACTTATCTACTTATAGAGAAGCAAAATGAGCTACTATTGCACAATTTGGAAGCTCATCCTATTAGAACTACAGTTCCAGAATCTCACGCACTTAATATTTTAAAGTCTAAGAAAAAATTATATAAATATAGAAAACATGCTCATAAGTATCAAGATAGTCATAGTCATGACCATTTCTATCCATATGGAAAGAATAAATATTCTATTATTAATTATAGTAGAAAATAAAAATCAGAGAGGCGTTCTTGTCATAAGTGTGGAATGATTGGACATTTAGCACATGCTTGTCGTACTTCAAAATATTTTATTAAAATATTCCAAGGAAATAAAAAAAGTACGAGCTGAGGCTCGTGAAGTTCATACCATGGATGCGTCGATGGATTCAATTGGTGTTAATGACTTAGAGACTTATATGAATGACAAAACCTTCAATGATGAATTAAATGATGCGCTCATTGATTCTGCAACAACACATACTATCCTCTGGGATAGACGATTTTTTATTGAAAAATCTTTAACTTGACAAACTAAAAATATGATGACTATAGATGGAGCAAATACGTTTTATTTTTAAGAAGGGATAGCGATGGTAAAATTACTTGTGGGTTCCATCATAAAATGTAAACATGTGATGTTTGCACCTTCAACACCTCAGAGTGTGATATGCTACGGAGATGTGTATATCAATGGTTATCACTTCTTGACTGCCATTTTAAATAGAAAAGAGGTTTTGGTTCTTGCAAAGAACCATAAAGTTGTTGAAAAAGCTTTTGCTACAGAAAATGGTTTATACCAAATTATGATTTGGCCTCCATTTATATTTCATTTTACATCATCTATCACAGAGAGTCGTGCTTTTCTCTCGCATGGACGATTGACACATCCAAGATCCACAATATTTAGAAAGATCATTCCATGTATAATTGGAGTTTAATTTAAAGCATGTGGATATAGACTCTATGAAATTATGTTATGCATGCGTGTAAGGTAAGATGATTACTCAGCCTTCAATTTGGAAACTCCCACAAGAATTACCACCAATGCTTGAAAGATTGCATAGTGATATTTTTCGTCGTATTAATCCAATATCATGACTATTTCATTATTTTTTGGTCCTTGTTGATGCATCAGGAAAACAATCACATGTTTCTTTATTATCAACTTGAAACATGGTATTTGCCAATCCTATATCTATGTGGATAACTATATACGCTTGTTTGCCAATACATGGTGTTTGCCAATCAACAAAAAAATAAAGTACTTATATTTGAAGCACCGGAAATGTTTACAATGAATCCCAATCCTAAGACATCTTTGGCTCAAACTGAAGTTGCTAAGATTTTACATCTAAAATGGATTGCAAGTAAAACACCTGATGGCTTCAATGATGCACCTAGAATTACAAGAATTCTTATTAATGAGGCTCAGAATGCACCTGCTCAAATTGCAATGCCATTGATTATAATACCTTAAGTTATAACAATAACAACTAAAAGAACTCATGGACTAGATAAGCAACCGCATAAGAAGAAAGCTATAATATCGACTAATCTTAGTATTATTTTTGAAGAAATTGCCACTAATCATGTAAGACCACCAATTTATGATGATATATCCATACATAATGTACCTTCAATTCTTGTGAAAAACAATCTTGGAATTAGAAGGAATAAGAACAAGTTGAGTAAAGAATTATCTATTTTGTACTGTGCTATAGATGATATTTCAAATAGACCATCTATTACGATAGATGAATCATTTGCATGTATGTTTATAGAAGTCCTTTCTTGCAAAGAAGACAATCCTGAACCTCAAACCATCGAGGAAGCGATGTGTCGTTCTAATTAGTTGGATATTGTAATACAAGATATAAATCTAATACTGCAAGAGCTAAATCTCAAATAGGATATGTATTTTTAAGACATGAAACTGTAATATCATAGAAATCAATGAAACAAACAATAACTACAACTTCATCCAACCATGCAAAAATTATTGCCTTACATGAAGCATCTCGAGAATGTATTTGGTTGCGATCAATTGATAAATTCATTCAAACAACCTATGGATTTTCATATGATGATTTTCCAACTATCTTGCATGAAAAAAATAGTACTTGTATTACACAGATGCAAGTTGGTTTCATTAAAGGCGATAGAACAAAGTATATTGATCCAAAGTATTTAAGTTATATCCATGACTTGATTACTGATCAAGCACTTATAATTAAAAAAGTTGAATCTGTAAATAATCTTGCTAATCTCTTCACTAAAGCTCTCCCATTGTGCAACCATCGTCAACTTATTTATGGCATTGATATGCGGCAACTTGCTTTTCTTGAATAAGAAAGTTGATGAGCTCTTTAAATAATTAAGAAAAATGATGTTGTACTCTTTTTCCTTCATCTATGGTTTTGCCCTTAAATATAATAAGGTTTTCCTAAATAAGGTTTTAATGAGGCAATAATTGTTGATCTTGTGAGATTACAAAAAAGTATAAATTATAGATCATAATTCTATACAAATTTTATATTATGTAAATATTATGATGAGCGAGGAGGAGTGTTGAGAGCATAAAATGTAGCCGGCGCTCTCTATAATATTTAGTGTAGACTACAATAAATACCATAGCTACAATATTTGGAATGTAATGGAGAGGAACTATTTATCCTCTCCCCTTCTCCTCTCTTGTATACAAGACACAAACAGATCAATAGATTTTTGTAAGCGAAGCTCTCTCTCCTTAGAAATCCTCTTATGTGTATTACTTACTATTACTCTTCTCTCTCCTTAGAAATCCTCTTATGTGTATTACTTACTATTACTCTTCTCTCTCCTTAGAAATCCTCTTATGTGTATTACTTACTATTACTCTTCTCTCTCCTTAGAAATCCTCTTATGTGTATTACTTACTATTACTCTTGTGTGTATTACTTACTACTACTCTTGTGTCTTTTTAAAGATTTGCAACCAATTTGCAAACAAGTACACTTTTCAAAACTTGATTTATACGATAGGTGGCAGCAGTAAATGAATCCACACCAGTTTAATGCAATGCTCTTTTCAACTTCGGACACTGCGATGTTCAAAAATTGGTATTAAGACTGGCAAAAGTTTATAAAAGTCGGTTGTTTGAAGGGCAATACTGGTTTGTCGGTAAATAAGCCTGCACTGTTTGACCTACAGTAGTCACAACGGGTCCTCGTGCCCGATTCCGGAACCGTCCTGGAACCTGCACCCCTGATCTTGTACTTGCCGCTTGCGCAGTGTGAGGACACATAAGGGTGCTCTGGATTTGCACTTAGGTTTAATCGGAGCCCAGGAGAATTGAGAACGACGACGGACAAGCGCAATACCCAACAGGGCTTAAACCCAGTTTACGTTGCTTTGAAACTCCAACTCCACGTTTCTGTACCACTGTAATCTCGTTTTTCTTAAGGTGCTGAGTCCTCTGACCCTGCACTAATTTCAACCTCGCAGTAGTGGTCTAGCGACTGTTGTAAGCTCTAGAAGATTATTGTGGCTTCTAATGTTCAAAGGCGACGTGGAATCTCTGGTAATGGTTTTGTTATGTGGAAATTGAATTAGGCCCTTTAAAGTGGAACTTGGGATTTTTACAATGTTTTTGAATTTGGATGTTGTGTAAGATGGAGTTTTTATTTTTGTTGTAGTAGTAGTAAATGGTGCATCCTCTGATTGCATGTAGCTACGCGATTGAGATATAAAGAGTCGATGTTTTCCTGTGAAACTGTTTCTTTTCTTAGTGTGTTTCTCTTATTGTTTAAATGTGTTGGTTGTTGAAGTTTTACATTCTTTCCCGACAGCCAGTAGGTCAATTTGTTAGGATTTTCATCATATCTGATTGAAGCATTTTGAATGTTATGGTGTTTGTGTTAGTTGTTCCTTAAAATTCACGGGTTCTCTCCTGAAAGGTAGGACTCCTCTGGATGCGTCATGAATGGATGCGTTTAGCTCATTAATGTCTCGCAATTCACTAAAAAACTTTCACTATTTTTATGTTGCTCATTCCGGTGAATGTGCCATCCTAACAGGTCTACGAAGCGATTTCATTCTGCACCTACATCTAGGAAAGTATCAAAAGACGGGAGACACACATCGCAAGACACCGTGTTGCTAGAACTCCTCACATCAGTCTATCGTGTGCCTAAGCAGATTACAGAATTTTTTTCGAGTAGATTCTCCATAATGGGATCACTCCTTTGCACGCCCACGCCTACTCAGCTGAATGCAAGAATAACTGGGGGTAGAACTCCTGATAGAACTATTGACATTGGAGCACTTATTAAGCACCAGGAAATGACCAGGGATCTTCCAGTGCCGTCGCTTAATCCAGGACAGCTTCGTGCTTGTAAAAAAGCCCTGAGTGTGCTTAGACAGAAAGTAAATGATAGTAGTGGGTTCGGAGAAATTGACCAAGAATATGACGCTTTGCCGGTATTCATTGCTACTCCCTCAAGAGACTTGTCTTGTGAATTAGTTTACAAGCATTGAAAATAGTGCATGTGGAGTTTTTCAGTTAACCATGGTCCATCTTCATGGTTTTAAAATAGAACTTGAACAGTATGTTGTGTATGGGAGCTTGGCGTGTATCTGTCGAATGACCAGAAGCAAATTTAACGTCAATTTTCCTCCAGGTGGACCTGTGAAGTAGGTTCCCTATATTTGACACTTGCTGTGTTGAATATCTAGGCAGAAGAGCTTTCCGACTACAGGGCACCCACGGAGAAAACAGCGGCAGTATTGCCCAACAACAGAGCCAAGAACCGTTATCGCAATGTTCTGCCATGTATCCTTAAGATTGATTTTAAAGTTGCTCTTTATGTTGTCCTCTCTGGTTTCTTTTTCTCTCGTGTATGTATTTGTTGATGAGATTGATTAGTCGGATCACGTCCGTTAGTCAGGGTAACGGCTTTGATGAGGCCGCTCGTCGTTCATGAAGTTATTTGTCTCGGATCTTCGATCGATTTGGTAATTCTAAATGTGAAGAGGGCAAAGGAAGCCACTTCTTTAACTTGGTACCATAGACAACTACACGAGAGTGCTTCTCAGCAAAAAACACCTCGGTCCCACTTACACTGATTATATTAATGCAAGCTTTGTCCAGGTATCAACATTCATCAGTTGTGGCAAACTGTGGACCTGAGAAGTGTTTTGCTTGTCTTGGTTTGTTTAGATTGTCCCCAAACTCTTAGGGTTGAATTGAATTAAGATTTATGTAATCTTGTACGTATCTACAGCACTTTTATTTCTAATACGTTTTGTTTATGTAGTAACATAATTTGAGACAGACCAGTTTGTAATTTTTTGCTGTTTGTTCCAAGGCAATGAACGTGAGAATCTTTACATGCAGGACCATGCCTATAATAATTTGCCCTTGTTCATAGCCACTCAAGGGCCATTATCCTCTACAGTCAGCGACTTCTGGGCCATGGTGCTACAGCAGCGGTGTCCTATCATCGTTATGCTCACTCAAATTGTTGATGGCGACCAAGTAAGCAAAGTTATCCTGAACATTGGCCTTCAAATTGATGATGGTGGTTAGCCATCGCCATGAACATCTATGCTTGAAGGTAAAATGTATTTGTGATTGATTGTTCATTCAGTTTTCACGATTTTTCTCGTCTCACTATTAGTTCAGATGTGGCCTGCGCCGAATGCAACACTTTCCACCCATTCTTATCCCAAGTTTGGCTTGATTTAGACAGCTTCTGGACATGTGATATGTGCAGCTGGTGTCTGTCTCGAGAGAAGATATGTTGCAGCTATTGACGTAGGGCGCTGATGATTGTGTAGTGCTCATAGAATATTCCCTTGTCTGGTTTTGACTAGCGCAATGAAACGTTGCTCATCCCTTGTGATTATTTAGACCTTGTCTACCACTTTTTTGGCACAGTAGCACGGTGTTCAAATGTTGGATGGATGTGCCGGATTTATATCACACTTAGCTGTATTTTTCTCGTGTCAATAAAGTCAGACTTGGGGCTAACTTTTGCTTTGGGGACATGACAGAATAAGTGTGCACATTACTTTCCTAGGGACGAAAACCAGACCCAAACACACGGACAGATTACTGTTACAAATCGAAAAACGAGCCTCAGTCAACATGGAATAGTCAGACGAGTCTTTGAGGTTCAAGACACTAAGGTATCTCTTCACTCAATATTTTAAGTTTCATGGTCGAAATTCTTCAATCCTTTCAAGTTTTCAGCCTGAATATTTACCAGTTTTCGTGGATAGAGTTGCACTAGAAACTGTAAACGGGCATCCTATGCTAAACACATGGGGGCTAAAAACGGTTCAATGAGTACTAGATTGAAATTTTATGGAGTATTGAATCTAATCTGGATTGTGCAGTTCACAGAACCACTCTTGACAATGGTGCACTACGAATACCTGGAATGGCCTGATTTTAGTGTTCCACCTTCCACGAGGTCTGTTCGTGAACTGACTCGTGCCTTGAGCAGCATTCCACCTTCAGCTGGCCCATTTGTAGTTCATTGCAGGTACTCCCTTGCTATCTGAAATAATCATTCGTTAGTTGAACCTCTCTGTGGAATACAAACTGGAGTCTTTCAGTTCGGGCATTTCTTTGCAATCAGAAATACACAGATACTGTTCATTTGCTCCGCCCATCCTCGTCCAGCATAGTTGTCTAATGTTATAGGATCTTGCCTTTACTTGCAGTGCTGGCATAGGACGAACAGGGACATTTTGCGTCATTGATCACACCCTTCGTCGAATTCTCGGTGGTGACTTAGAGGCAGTGGATATTAAAAGCACGGTGCGGAACTTCAGGTCGCAACGTGACGGAATGGTGCAAACTAGGGTAAAATGCTTTCTGAACCTATCCACCCCAGCTTCATTATGCTACGGTGATCCCAACAGAAAACAGCAGATTGCCTCTTTCTCTTATTGAAACTGTGGACGCTGCAAGCAAGATTGAGCCAAAATTTCTGCGCACCCGAGAACGTAGAGATAATGTTGGGTCGAAGTAACACTTAATACTTACATTGTTAATCAGCAAGGCTATTGTTGGTGCCGACTGTCATCAAGCTTTTGCGATGCTGATACGCATAATACATATATCCTCTGTTAACATTGCATGTTTTTTTGTTTTTTTTGTTTTTTGTGTTTTATTTTTACAAGGGCTCCAATTCCTAAGGAGGTATAATTTCGTGGGACAGGAAGCAAACCGCATGTATCTAAGTTTGGTTCCTGTCAGTGCTTGTTTCGTTTTTATCGAGTGTGCGGTGCTAAACGTGGCCATTGTTGGCTCCTCAGGATCAATACCAGTTCTGCTACCAGGCTGTTGAGAAAGAGCTTGAAGATTATGTCAGGGGACAGAAATAAGAGCTTTGAGCCCTTCATCAAAGCGATAAAAAGGGTGACACTATTTGTTTAAGGATGGTTTGGTGCGAGATGAATACTTTCCTTTTGCTATTGTCGGCAATAAAATTAGACTTTGCAACTATTAATGCAATAATTTTTATTTCAGGGATGCAGTGATTTATATAGATTTTGTTGCCACCCAGCTGCAACAAAGTGAAGTAGAATAACAAGTGTTAACTTGTAACAATGGACTACAATTGGGACAACTGTGTGTATAAACATAGGGTATATTGTATTGTTTGGAGGACTTTGTGCTCAAGTGAAATACCAGTCTGTGCATGGACTTGAAAAGTATACACTTGGGTACAAGTACCTCCGTGTTTTTGCATTCAAAATATGGGCAGATTCATAGAACAAATGACAATCATCGTTGGCCTTTTTATTTAACGAATGATATACATATTTGTGTAAGTATACATATAAATACTTATATATTGTAGTAAAATAACATTATTTTTATGATTTTATTCACTTAAATGTTTTTGGAAAATAAATATGATTGTTATATATATACAAAAAAGAAAAATAATTTATTAATACGATTTAAAGAGGAAAAATTTAGATGGTTTCATATTTTTTAATGTTTTCTATGTTACCATTATAATGTAAATCTTTGTTAGCATTATGTAATATATTCAACTAAGAAGTGAGGTATTGAATCAATATAATTGTCTCAAAATCTATAATCTAAAACTATCTTTTATCATGTCCATCACTGTTGTTAGTTGTTTTTTTTTTTTTTTTTTTTTTTGTAACTTGTTCTTATATTAAAAAGAATCTCTTTTTTTACAATAATTGATAGAGTTTTTTTAACAAAACACAATACAAAACCTAAAATAATTGGGCTTTACACATTGAAATTGCTCCACAATGTTGCATTACAACCTACACCTAGAGAGTGACATTGCACCTTTGCATAACCTTCTGTGACAACTCTAAATCATTTCAAAACATTTTGATGTTTTGTTTGACAATTTTGTTTCATATTCTTTAAATAAAATAATTTTTGTTTGAAAGTGAATGCTTGTCATTAATCTATTTTAATTAATGAAGGAATTTTATGTATTATACGATGTTTGCAAATGAAAAATGCTTTGGTATGCTCATTGAGCATAGTGTCTACAAGCCCCAACTTAAAGCAGCTTCAAATATAACAATGCTTAATGTTTCAGCATGTTATGGAGGCAGAGAATGTCACAAAGTTTGCTATGGTTTGCATTGCAGTCTTACCAAAGGACAGCTTTACGTTTCTATATTTCATGACTCTGAATCTGACATGTGAGGCACTCTAAGAAAGAAACTAACTCACATACTATACACCTAAACCTTGTCTATAGATTCCACACAAGGTATGAATATCTTGATTGGAATCTCTAGCAACTGGTACGCAATTGTTCATTACTAAAAAGTCTCATATTACCATTAAATTGCATTACTTTCTTGCAGGTGCCTTATGACAAATATTCTTTTGTGCTAATGAAGACGTAGCCACCACATTTCATCTTCAATATAGATGGAAGGAATGTAGTTTAATTGATTTTTGCGTTTAAACGAATGCACTTATTGGAACAGATTTGAGTCTGATTATGCCAAACCCAACCAAGAAGTCAGGTAGTTGTGATAATTGCAAGAGGAATTGGCTTAGGAGGGGGTAGTTGTGCGACCTCGATGCAGTACGTAGGCTGACACAACCAGCTGTGAATATAGACCCGAGAAGCAGCCAGATAGTATGTGATTCCAGAGGCTGTGGCCAGAATCGTGAGAAAAGCAGCACCTGCAAACACCCCGGAGTCTACTGCATACCCGCAGGATGCTGAAGTTGAAGCTGGAAGCACAGGCCTTGGATTAGACTGTGCGTGATGGTTGCTACTCACGCCAGCTCCATAGAAATAAAATATCATGGCAACAACACACAAAGTCCTGCATTAACAGGCTCAAACTGGACATTAGTGCAAGTTATGATCATGCGAATTGAGAAAAACTTTTGAGAGGATTGACTGAAATGCTGTAAGCCAGCTTGCAATACATAACCCGAGCCTGAGAACAAACCCTCAATCATTTCGACTGCGATATAATAATGGTGACAAGTTAAATATGGTCCAAAACCCAGCTTGATGCAACAAATATTGGGCAAAGAAACAATTCGTGACGAATCAGTAACAATGAAGTAAAGAAGTCAGTTTCTACGTACCAAGAAACTACGAGGCTCTTGATTGCGAGTTTTGCAGGGCTAGCGAGTTTGTCGATCCTGTAGTTGCAGCATGTACATCCCCCAGCTGCTGTCAGTAACACCTGCATGAGGAGAACTAGAAACGCAGCAGATATGGACAAAGAGAAACTTTCGTTCCGCGGCATAATGCACTGGTTTGCACCATCATCCCACACCATCTCATTTACCTGTAGCACAGGCAGATTAATGACACGCTTCATGATAAATTTGCATCATGGGTCTGTATGTTTGTATGTGGTTCAGAGAGAAAGACTTAGCACTTCTACACTTCAAAATCTGTTTGGGCTGCATGAAGGGATGACCTGAGGGTGAGGTCTCCAACATACTCGAGAATGAAATGCAGTATCCTTTTCAGAAACAGAATCCATTTTCAGTAACCAACATCAACAAGGAGCAGGACCAAACATGCCCGTCGAAAACTTACAGTTATTCGTTTTCTTTCAGCAATGAAGCCCAAAACAGCTGCCGTGATGCCGATCACACCAGCCAACACGGCAACGCAAGTGGCTCTCAAAGAAAACTTGGTTCCAAACGCCATTTCACAGAGCTTCGTTCGAACGTGCACAGCAACTCTCTCTTCTTCTGCATGAGCCTAACAGAAGAGTAGACAACCAAAAGAAGCCACCCAACAAGCGAGCAACCCAATACTCACCGAATGAAAAAAGACTACAAACAAACATGTGCTGAGTGCACAAGAAAAGAAGCGTGATTCTGAAAGAACATCGCATGGTCAGATGACAAAACATTTACTGGGTTCTTGGTCGCGACTGCACTTCAAGAATTTGGCTCCATGGGATTCGAATTTTGAGCTCAGACAGACCACCCAAAACACCAAATCTGTGCTGAAAGCACCAACGTAGTGTGCGTTGCGAAAGATAAATGAGTGTTTGTGTCATGAATGAGTAGAAACTGGCTGCTGGCTTCTGGGTCTTGTTGGATCGACCCCGAAGCTTACATGCCTACACCCCATGCGCACATGAGCTTGAGTTGACTGAGGGCATGGAGCCCACGTCGCCGAGGACTCATCGAGCCCTGCAAAACATGCAACATCGCACACATAAACACTCCCTAAAACAAACTAAATTACACACACACACACACAAGACTCACTATAGCTCAGAAACCTCCACCCATATATATATATGGATGTTTATTTCTTTTATTGTTATTATTATGAATTTGAGGGAGTGTTTATTTAGTGCTCATATGAGCATGACGATGGTGGATCAGTATTCATGAGTTGTTTTGTTTTGTGCGTGTGTGTGTGTGTGTGTTTTTTTTATTTATTTATTTTTATTGAAATTCTTATATTTTTGAGATTCTGGTATTTCATATATCTGTAATGTGTTAAACTTTCAAGGAATGACTCTTGTTGTTTGTACTTGTGTATGAGGTAGTAAATGAGCTTGTGTGCGGTGATTGTGTTATTGAAGGTATTTTGTTTTCTTTTAGTAGGGGAAGATGTGAAATAATAACATATTGCTAATAATGTAAGATTTGATTTGTAATGTGTGTAGTTTTTTATTTGGTAACATATTCATTGTAATTAATTTTTGATCTTTTGGATTTGAAGGAATCATAAGACATAAATAAATAAAAGTGAATTGAATATATGAAAATTATGTTAGTATTGTTAGAACATGTTTATGTTATGGTATGAAATGAAATGTCAATTAGTTAATGTTTGTTTATTACACAACTCTATGTTTGTTTGTTATATATATATATATAAATTAACTAATTTATTTCTTTTCTTTTCTTTTTTCACAATAGTTGATAGTTTTGATTTTATATTTGATTATTGAATGTAGTTGTTAAATAATCACCAAATTACAATATGATATAGATGACTATTTTAAAGATTTAAGACATTAAAGTAAAGTTATTGAGTTTTAATTTTTTTTATTAAAGATATTAAAATTACATATTTAAAACAATTTATCTAAAGATAATAGAATTAAATAAATGATAAATAAAATAAAGAAGATTTTAAAAGTAAATAAAATATCTTTAAAAGGGTATTAACAAGATTAATGATATCTTTTAATTTTATCATTGTATATACTAACTAGTAAGAAGACTAGGTTTTTAAAGACCACAAGACTTAGTGGCTAAGTATCCAAATTGTAAGATATTTCTGTAATGGTTGCTTGGATGTAACAAACTTCTTAAAGAAGTTTATATAATTACATATTGCACCAAAGAACACCCATAAATCTAATTCATGTTTATATATATATTGTGATAAAAGAATGTTATTTTTTTTAAAGCGGTTGTATCAAATAAATAAATAAGATTAGAAAAAAAAATTATAAGAGATTTAAAGGCCTTTAAAGATAATTTAAGACTTAAATTTTAAAATTCAAAATAAATAAATAATTTAATATAATTCTTAAACAGCTATTATTTTATAAAAAATGCATTAGAAAAACATTTAGTACTCTTATATTAAATAAAAATATTAGTAAAATACCTTTTGATAAGTGTAGTATATATTATGCATAACAATTTATTTATAGATAAATATTTAGAAATCATATTTTATAAAATTTAGATTTTTAATAAAATATTTTATTATAAGTTAATAAATGTAAATAGAAATATTAGGTCTTTATATAAAAAATCATAAATATCAATCATTTATTTTTAAGGATATATATATATATATATATATATATATATTTTGAATTATGGTGCTTTAATTATGTAATTTTGTATAAATTTTTTAAGTAAAAATTTTAATTTTTTATAAGTTATAAATATTTTTTAAAATATAAAATTACAACAAAAGATTTAAGATGAAATGTTGAATTTGATTAGAATTGAAACTTAAAGTTTATTATTTAAATAGTACTAAAAATAAATAAAATATTAAAATACTAAAAAAGTAGAAAAATACTATATAATCATACTAACTTGGAATATGATATTAGATACTAAAATTTCACAAATAAACATAATAAGTTATACTGTCACGGCCATAATCATGTAAGCTAATAATTACATATAGAAATAGGTAGAAGTAAGTAAAAGTAGGTAAAAGTAAGTTAATTCTATAATATTTAATATGGAAGCTTCCTAAAAACTTCCTAGATGCTGCTTTGACTTCATAGGTGTCTTTAATTGACTTTTTGGATTAAAAACGTAGTCAACAAGTTGGCCATGTGCCACACATGTTGTTAGCTTGAAGATCAAGCTAACTATGTGGCCCACACGTAGAAAAACTTGCCTTGTAAGTCAAGGCATGTGCCCTACAAAGTCAACACATATTGGAGGTCCTATAGAATGTCGCCACGTAGCCCCTAGTTAGATAGTATATATAGAGACAAGAGTGAAGGCTTCTTCACTCTTGTCAATTCCTTTCTTGCTTCTAGTCTAGTTTCAAGGGTCTCTAGTTTTCTTGTCTTTTGGCAATAGCCATTCCAATTTCTCTTTCAATATACATACTTGTTTATTTATATTTTGTTACCTTTCTTTGAGTGAAGGCTCACTTGTCTGAATTGTTTTTTCATCGAGTTCTTGTCCTTGACAGATTGACAAGAGTACACCTACAATATCAGAGCTTTGTCAAATCTTGATTAAGAGTAGATTACCCCTTTTTCTTGATAAGATATAAGCGTATTAGAAGTTGCGGATTACCCTCTTCTAAACTGATATTGTCCTTAGCATTTTCTTTGTCCGCAAGTCCTCTCTTCTGTTTATCTTGAGCGATATTAGACATCTTCTCTCTTCTAAGTGTTATCATGGCAGAACTTCTTGAAATGAAGAGTGCAATGGCACAAATGCAAGAGCAATTGAGAGAGTTAATGCTTGCAATGCATCAACTCAATTTACTACCACAAGGAGCAACAAGATTGGCAGGAAGTGAAGATATAGAAATGATTGGAGCTGCTTCAACATCTGCACCAAACCATGTCCTTTTTCCTATGGTAGAACGCCCTTCAAATGTTAGAGAACCAAGAATTGCCCTACCCGAGAAGTTTGATGGCACCAGATCCAAGTTTCGAGGATTTATCAATCAAGTGCAACTTGTGATTGAACTTCAACCCCAAAGCTATCCAACTCCAAGATCACAAGTTAGATTCATTAGTACGCTTCTTTCAGGTTCGGCACTATCATGGTTTTCATCTTTTCTTGAACGACGAGATCCAATATTGGATAATCTAGAGGCTTTTTTGGCAGAGTTTCAATCCATATATGGAAAACATGATGCAATTCGTGTTGCAACCAATAAGATCCGTATTTTACGACAAGGCAATCGATCAGTAACGTTATATGCTTCACAATTTCGACAACTTGCAACTGATATCAAGTGAGATGATGCCGCACTTATTAACCAATTTCTCTACGGATTACAATATGAGGTAAAAAAATTAATGCTCAACTTACCTGATCCTCAAACATTGAGTCAAGCAATTGACTTTGCTGTGAACTGCGACAATCGCCTTTTTGAATTCTGATCTGAGAACCGTACAAGTGGACCTTAACGTTACTATAATTCAATGGCAACACCAACACCTCTTCAATACATACATTCAGAAGTAGACGATATGCAAATTGATGCAGTATGTTTCAAACTTCTTACTAAGCAAGAAAAGTCTCGTCGTCGTCGAGAAGGATTATGTTTATATTGTGGAGAACCAAAGCACAGTGCTCAACATTGTCCAAAGAAATGACGTAATCACAAAATGAGGAGTATGGCTATGAAAGAAGATAATATGTCAGAAAACGAGTTTGTCCAGCTACAATAGGGACCGTGCAACTGAAACCTTGCACAACTTCTAGTAAAGGTCCTATTCTCTCCTTAGAGCCCTCTCCTTGTTTTACATTAAATGTTATTTTAGGACCTAAACATTACAAAGTCTCTGCCTTGTTAGATTCAAGAGCCTCAGCGTATTTTTTAGATGAAGAATTTACTAAAAGACATAGCATATCTTTAGTAAAGAAAACTAAACCTGTTCATGTAGAAGTGATAGATGGTCGTCCATTGTCTTCTGGAGATATTACTCACAAAACCCTTCCTATAGAAGTAATAATCAATGGTCATAATAGTTTTGTAGTATTTAATATTATTAGATCTCCCTCTAATCCAGTCATTTTAGGTTTATCGTGGTTAGAAAAATACAACCCTCAAATAGACTGGATTTCCCGAATTCTTACTTTCTCTAAAAGTATAACTAACAGTGTAGTTAAGCAAGTAGAGAGTCATAAGTCCAGTTCAATTAAACCCGTATTTATAGGTGCAAAAGCTTTCTTGCATACTGCTATGAAAGAATCACCATACATTATTTATGCTACACCCGTTTCTACTGGTGAAAAGACTTCAAGTGGCATTCCAAGCCAATATCAAGAATTTCAAGATGTATTTGAAAAAAAGAATGCGGATACACTCCCGGAACATCATCCCTATGATTGCTCAATTGACCTTCAAGAAGGAGCACAATCGCCATTCGGACCAATCTACAGTTTATCATAAAATGAATTGGCTGAACTCAAGGAGTATATTGAAGAAAATCTAGCCAAGAATTTCATACGCCATTCTAAATCTCCGGCAGGGGCTCCAATTCTATTTGTGAAGAAAAAAAATGGATCATTGCGAATGTATATTGATTATCGAGGACTCAACAAAATTATCATCAAAAACAGGTATCCACTACCTTTAATATCTGGACTTCTTGATCAGCTGAATCAAGCTAAGATCTATACAAAAATAGATCTTTGTGGAGCATACAATCTAGTACGCATCAAAGAAGGAGATGAATGGAAGACTGCATTTCGAACTAGGTATGGACATTTTGGATACAACATCATGCCTTTTGGACTTACAAATGCACCAGCAGCTTTTCAACATCTAATGAATGATGTTTTTCGAGAGTTTTTGGACGATTTTGTAGTATGTTATCTAGAAGACATCTTGATCTGTTCTAAGAATCCAAAAGAACATGAACTTCATGTTCATCGTGTGTTACAAAAATTAAGAGATGCAGGACTCTATACCAAGATAGAAAAGTGTGTATTCTACACTACTCAAGTCGATTTCTTAGGTTATATCATTTCAAATGATGGACTTATGATGGATCCTAAGAAATTTCAAACTATTATAGACTGGAAGATCCCAAAAACGGTAAGAGATGTCCAATGTTTTTTGGGATTTGTCAACTACTATCGGATCTTCATCAAAGACTTTTCTCGAGTTGCAGCTCCACTTACACGTTTGACTTGTAAAGACAAACTCCAATGGAATCAAGAAGCGGAAGTTGCTTTTGAATCTTTGAAGATAGCGTTTGTTTCTGCACCAATCTTGTATCGTGTTGATTTTTCCAAAGCATTTTTTATGGAAACAGATGCATCGGACTTTGCTCTGGGTGCGGTTTTATCACAAATGGGAACAAATGACAAACTTCATCCAGTAGCCTTTCATTCAAGAAAATTCTCAGCAGCAGAAATCAATTATGAGATCCACGACAAAGAACTTTTTGCAATTGTGGATTCTTTTCAAGAATGGCGTCATTATCTAGAAGGCGCTTCTAGTCAAGTCACTATGTATACGGATCACAAGAACCTCGAATATTTTATGTCAACATGCGTATTAAATCATTGCCAAGCTCGTCGGAGCATGTCTTTATCAAGATTTGAATTCATCATCACTTATCGGCCAGAAAAACAACAAGGTTTATCCGATGCCTTGTCTAGATATTCTTATCTTGCACCAAAAGAAGGAGATGCAGCTTTTGAGCAACAAAGAACGGTTCTCTTGAAGCCGAAACAGTTTTATCTTCGAGCAATAAAATCAACATTGACTATTGATTTAACTTTCCTTAAGAAAGTCTAGATAAGTATGTCTTCAGACCCTCTTGTTCATGATATCAAGAACAATTCTTCTAAATCTCATGATCCATCTAAATTTGAATTCAAGAACAACCTACTCTATTTTGAAGGACGCCTATATGTTCCAGAAGGAGAAGCACGTTTACGCATTCTTCAAGCTCGTCACGACTTCCTAACAACAGGATATTTTGGATATAATAAGACTTTGGAGTTGATATCTAAGGATTTTTGGTGGCCTCAAATGTGGAAGGCAGTTAAAGATTTTGTACAATCATGTGATGTTTGCTCAAGATCAAAAACTCCTCGTCATCGATCTTTTGGACTTCTTCAGCCATTACCCATTCCAGAACAACCATGATCTTCTGTTTCTATGGACTTCATCACGGGTCTTCCAATCTTAGGTTCTTATGACTCTATATTCGTGATAGTAGATCGTTTTACTAAGATGGCACATTTTGTACCATCTACAAAATCTATCACAGGTGAAGAAACAGCTAAGCTCTTTCTTGACAATATCTATCGCTATCATGGATTACCCAAGGATATTATATCAGATAGGGGAACTCAATTTGTATCAAGATTTTGGCGGACTCTTTTCAAGATTCTTAAAGTGGATATAAAACTATCTTCGGCATTCCATCCTCAAACTGATGGACAAATGGAGCGTGTTAATCAAGTTTTGGAGCAATATTTAAGATGTACCATTAATTACCAACAAAATGATTGGACAACTCTTTTGCCATTGGCAGAGTTTGCTTACAATAACACAGTACACTCTTCTACAAAACAAACACCTTTCTTTGGTAATTATGGTTATCATCCACGACTTGATACTTTTGACTTTTCAAAAGTTCATAATCCTGCTGCGTAAGATTTGGCAATTCATTTATCAGAGCTACATGCAACGATGAAGGCGCAGTTAAAAAAGGCTCAAGAACAACAAAAGGCCAATGCGGATGTCTATCGAAAGGAACAACTATCATTCGTCTTGGGTGATAAGGTATGGCTACTTCATCGTAATATCAAGACCACTCGTCCTTGTGACAAGTTGAACTATCGAAGGTTGGGACCATTTTTTATTTCTGCACAAATCAATCCGATTGCATATCGTTTACATCTATCGGAGTCAATGAAAATCCATCCAATATTCCACGTGTCTCTTCTTGAACCATACAAGACAGTGGACATACCAAGAAGACGATAAGCTCCACCTCCTCCTATAGAAGTGGACAATAATGAAGAGTTTGAAGTAGAAGAAGTCTTAGATTCAAGGTGACGTCGAAATAAATTAGAATATCTTGTCCATTGGTGCGGATATGGTATTAGTGAATGCACATGGGAGCCAATAAAGAATCTTACAAATGCAGCAAAGGCGGTGGAGGCTTTTCATCGACGACATCCATCAAAAGCAAGATGAAAACCTTCTTTATAAAAGAAACAACATGTAGGCAAGATAATATTTTACTTTCAATTCTTGTTCGTAGCTTTGTTGTAGTAATGGTGCTCAAGAGATGGAGAACCAACAACCAGCGGATTCAACTCAAGAGCCTTTATTTGCTGACTTGTCGAACGAGACATTACGATTGTCACAACCTTCAAGACAACGCAATCGAGATGAAGATCTTCAAGAACGACATGTTCTTCCTCGAATAGATGGTGAGATACAACGCGTTTGGTATCACAATTTGGGAAGGGACTCCCGATATTTGGTAATTTTGCTAGAAGAAGGAACAACTCCTGATGGTGTTCCAAATATTCTATTCGAAGGAAGTTACGAAGGCCTCGACAATGATCAAATAATTGGGTGGTCTTCCCACCCTGGTATGGGACACTACCGATGGTTGAGAGGCCCTATTAATCATCTTCGAAGAGAACAGAGATCAGAGTATGTGGCAAATACAATTCGTCGCATTATAAATTTTCTCAACATATGATGACCGCTCCTCGTGGAATTCGTCCCTAGAAGGGGAAGTAATATCACGGCCATAATCATGTAAGCTAATAATTACATATAGAAATAGGTAGAAGTAAGTAAAAATAGGTAAAAGTAAGTTAATTCTATAATATTTAATATGGAAGCTTCCTAGAAACTTCCTAGACATTGCTTTGACTTCATAGGTGTCTCTAATTGACTTTTTGGATTAGAAACGTGGTCAACAAGTTGGCCATGTGCCACACATGTTGTTAGCTTGAAGATCAAGCTAACTATGTGGCCCACACGTAGAAAAACTTGCCTTGTAAGTCAAGGCATGTGCCCTACAAAGTCAACACATATTGGAGGTCCTATAGAATGTCGCCACGTAGCCCCTAGTTAGATAGTATATATAGAGACAAGAGTGAAGGCTTCTTCACTCTTGTCAATTCCTTTCTTGCTTCTAGTCTAGTTTCAAGGGTCTCTAGTTTTCTTGTCTTTTGGCAATAGCCATTCCAATTTCTCTTTCAATATACATACTTGTTTATTTATATTTTGTTACCTTTCTTTGAGTGAAGGCTCACTTGTCTGAATTGTTTTTTCATCTAGTTCTTGTCCTTGACATATACACATCAAAATATTTAACCTAAAATCAAAATGACATATTATATTTACTTTTATATGTTTTGTTGCCAAATAGGTCATTGTTATTTTAATAACATCTAAATCTAACTAGATATGCACTTGGCATCGATGGGCACATACAAAAAAAACCACAAAATAAATCTTGAGTTATAAAAATATGTGCACTTAATATATATAAGGAATTGGATTAAATTGCACAAAATTTCCAAATTATTTCGATGAATTGTATTGGAAGGATACAACCTACCTTCAATTCCAATATCATGGAGGCTTGCAAATAATAAAAGTAATATAGGTCAAGTAGTATAGTAAATGCGACTTTTGATCTTCAAGTAAGAACAGCATCACTTCAAACTGAAATTTGAGGAAAGGAAAAGCTAGTTACAGACTTAAATAAACTATGAAGCTACTGATTCTCTGCACATACTAGAGCTATGGCTAACTAGTAACATAGCAAGCAGCTATTCTTCTCCAAAAATTTGATTTTGTATACATCCTTGTTCTTAAGAGATTCTTAAAAAATCCACGGTCTTTTTCTGAGCAGTCAAACTTAACAAGAGGATAACAGCACTTTTCTTTGAGTCTGATAATGCCAGAAGACTCCAAGCCCTGCAAATGACCATTCATCAGATTCAGTTAATCACTTAGTAAAGGCTTTTCAAAAAAAATATCATATTATACAAGAGTCATGAAGACCAAACTTGACAAAGAGGAAAAATGTTTTTAGACAAGATTGCCGTCGCCAACCACCAATGACTGACTTTGATGGCACAAACAGCAAGTTCTGATATGATTCTGAAAAAATCATCTGAAAAAACACTTTTTCACTCTGTGATTACCAGCTAATCTTTTCGTTAGAGAAGCGGCATCTCATATCTGCTTAATTACACTCGAAATTGAATGGATTGCATTTGTGGTTAGGATCAGGCCGATCTGTTGTCCACGTCCTCATTTTCTCCAATCTATTTTGTCTACAAGTCTGATCGTCTAGCCACCCAACTCGCTTGGTCATCTTGTCTACCAGTGTGATGTGCTCTTTCATAGCCATTCCTGTGTATAGAAATGAAACTGATATGTCTAAAAACATGGTAAAAACATAATTTTTGCAGGTGTTAACATGCCTACTGTCAGAAACGAAGTGAAGGGGTTTCTGAGCATAAAAATCTGACCTCCTAGAATGTTCATTCCGGGCTGGTTGATGGAATTTGAACTTCGAAATGCAAGGCATACCAAACCTTCTGCCTGTGTTACAACTTACACCGTAAGAGTCCCCGCCGATTAATGGCACTCAGTTAAATAGCTAGTTCACGCCCACTTCACTTCAAAGGAAAGGCTCTTATAGCGTTCTTTGCCTCGCGGATTACTATCCGGATTATCATGGTTTCAAGACAGCGTGTAATGACCACTTGTTATGGACACACTATTACGTACAATGCTACAAGAGTATTTGTAAGTTATACCAAACGCTAGCGGTCATTTTCTTCAACAATTAGGTATTTGGCCGATAATTGGTTGGAGTGGTTACCGGGCTAATGATGTAATTCTCTGGCTTAATGACCAGCTCACTGCGGGGAATCGTGCTACCGAGCAGAAACGTGACATTCTTGAAGCCCTGAATAAGCTCATCCTCCTTCCTACAATCACCAGTTAAGGATATCATAATCACATGGTTCTTCACAACATAAATATAAACCTTTTGCCATCAAGATTGCAATAGTATGCCTGAGGAGATGGTCAGCTTGAGTTTAGTAGAAGGGCTGACCAAACACTTACAATCTGTGGTAGATAGTGTTAGTGTGACAGCAACGGTTCCACATACATTATCTATAGGTATGAATTCAAACAAATCTTACACAGTGGCCTTCCAAAAACTCCAACAAGTCCCTTCTTCTTCTTCAATTTTCTGTGATTCATAACCTGCTTTTCTTGCCCAACTCTCCACCTGTTTCGCGGAGATTGTTAGAACTTGTTAAGATTATTGCGTAACACAACCATGAGCCTTCTTTGCACTTAGAAGGAATCTGGATCATAAAATATGACATGCAATCAGTGTTTGTATTGTTTCGACCCATCGGAAACATTTGTTAGATTGATGGAGGTTGTAACCGCATAAATTCTATTCAACTAGTTGCAAGGGACCGACGAGTAAACAAAAGAACTTACTATCTTCACGAAAAAGACAAAAATTTCATCTGCCAAATATGTGAAGCGTGAGCTGCCATCTAGAATGATATAGTTACTATGCCTCCTTGATACGTCACCAAGAAGTACCATCTGATCACCGTACTTAATATTGTATAACGTCACCTGATAATCCCCTCTGCAACAAATTGAACTGGTTGGAACGTTATCATGGATATCAGTTACACAATCACAACTGCAAAAAAAAAAAAAAAAGCAAAAAGCAAAAAAAAAGCAAAAAACAAAAAAGAATCTCACTGTAGATTACGTAAACAGCTGCGGTCCGAACATATCAAAGCACTCAAGGAAAAAGGGATAAGTGAAATTGGATGTAGTACCTACTTCTTCAGAAAGCCCAGACTTATTGAAACAAGCACGGTTTGAGTGCTCAAACGTGAGCTCTGTCACTTTCTCTACATAAGACTCTTTCAGACATATGGTGAAGGAGCAGTTCAGCTTAGAAAAAGGAAATATCTAGAAAAAGAAAAACAATTATTGCACACATATTGAGATTGAAAACATACACATCACTGTGTTCAAGAAGCGCCCAACGCATGTTATCACCAAGTAGCGTTAGTGGGAAACCAAAAATGACATATCCAGCAAAAACGCCATTAGTGTTGGCCAAGCATAGAGCTATACTATGCTCAGCTATGTTCTTCTCGTCTAACTGGCTGGGAAATGAAAGGGGTCGCAGATTCAATCCCAAAACACCGTCACTACTCAACTTTTCTTTATATTTCATTCTTTTCAATGTTGCTTTTGAGTGGCGTTTATACACGCACCTGCTTGCGAGATGGAAGTGTCACGTCAGTGTAGGCATTCAGCTTGTTTAGTAAATAACACCAAAAAATTGCAAAGGAATACGCTCTGAGGAATATAACGTTGGCATCTCGTACAGACGGAGAGGTAATTTACGACCGGTTACCCAAATGTCATCTTCACGAGTCTGTAATGTGGGTCATTGCTAGGTATACTGTAGTTGCTGAGGACTACGTTGTCCCTTGACAGGATTCCTACAATATCCTCCTTTCCATATGAGCCCAGAAAGTTGCAAAAATCTGGATCACAGGAAGCTGACATGTTTTCATATGAGTTCAGCTGCTCACACAACTTGGAATTGCACCAATTCTCATCCGTTGGAACGTACAGTCCATTGGGACCCTGTGCATACGTAAACTATGTTTTTAACTCCAAGTTCTGACATGCATTAGTTCATTCCAAAGAAGAAACGTGGTTTAACTGATAATAATTGGTTAAGATATCGCAATGATGGGAAATGTTAAAAATGTCCAGCCACGCATCTTATTTCCAATTGAAGTAATCAACTTCTCAGCAACTTAGCGCACAGCAAAATAAAAAAAATGCAAGAGGATAAATTCCTTAGAATAGTAACAAATAAAGATCCAAGAGTAGATGACAAGGATTATGAACTCACATGCAGTTGTTTTGGTTTAAGTACATCGATCAGTTTTGAAAAGGTATTTCTCTTCCTTTTGTCTTTCCAATTGCAGTTTATCCAACTGAAATAGCCTCTAAAATCGAGATCCAAAAAATAAGTTACATTAGCCACGGTCATTTTCACAAAAAGAAGTGCCTCGACCTCAGATAGATGTCTATGGACCTCCCATGTATTTATCCTGGGGTCCCATGGAGGTAATGAGGGCCCATCCCGCGGAGCTATATAGTCTAAGGGCCACACTAACAATCGTCGATTTGTGTTGACAGGCATTCCATATCCACTACTTGATAAGTTACCTTTGTCCAGCCTATAATCTCTGACGAACAGGGGAAGCACAACGTATGATTCCTCAAGACGAACAGTCTTCGATTTCAGAACTTGAAGCCAGGGTATTAAAGCTGTTGAGAGGGCTATCACCAGAATCGTAACAACATAATGTCGTAGAGCTCGTATCGACCAGCTCCGATGCACAACACCTGGCTGCAAGCACCAACTCGAGTTACACATTCACTCTAAAATCATTCCAAGTCCGACTTCAATCACATAGTAAAAGAACTAGGAGTCACACAAATAGCATTTCCATTTCAAGCCGCACAGAGAGAATTGATAACGGTAACATTCTTCTTGCAAGACAATAGTTGAAATTATTTCGCAAATGAAAAAACCAAATGGACACTAAGAATTGATAAACCCGTCTGTGAGACATAATAAGAACAATTTCCTACAGAGAAACATTATCAGACACTAACAAGCGAATCGTTATGAGCTGATAGATAGAATTCAAGATTATAGTTTAGATTGAAATTCAATCCTAACTGAATTTTGAGCTTTTTGTAGATTTGGTTCAACAGCAAGATGCTTCTATTCAAAAATGTGTTTTCATTTACACTACTGCATTAAGTCGATGGTCTTATGAACATGATCTGATCATGAATTTCAATGAGAAAGAACATATGACCCAAACTCGGAATCGGAAAGTTGACGATAATTCGTGACCTAAATTTTTGTAATTCTCCAATCACCACTCCGTTTCATGATTTTTCAAACTCATTGCAATTCAAGTGCAATGTTTAACCGACACTATAAAGATTTGAGGAAGTGACTGCGAAATAGAGGAGCTAAGCACCAAAACATTCACATGCCCACCGCAAAGCTTCATGACAGTGGATCACCCATTTATTAGGAAAGCTCAACGATAGTATACAATCAGAATTGAGCAACGAAGAACATGCCTGAATTCGTTGTGGAGAAGCTTCCAAAGGCTTCCAAGAGCTTGGATTCATCCCTCCTCCTGGTTCGTCCGTTTGACCGCCCCAAACACCACCCACCTTGATCTGAACTGCAGACCCACCACCTATTGATCATATGTGTTAGACGTTGTACCCACCTTCCACCCCCTTATCCTCGACTGTAACAAGCAACTTACTCTCACCGAATTCATGAACGAGCACAAAAGCTCTCTCACATAGACAATCAAAGCCTTCTCAAATTACCCTCCGAATAGACGCTCCCAGGTGTGCTTAAAACTTGTCGGATTTACAACTAATAGAGAAAGTTCCCTTGTGTGAAGAGTTACCTGGAGCGATTAGCTCTACGGACTCGTGTTACCAGATAGTGATAATCCAGGATTGAAGCGAAGCTACAGCAGCAATTCTGAAAGAGGAAGGAATCCTAACGATAACCTAACTGCTTCTCCAAAATCAGTTTCTGGTGAGGAACTTAATATGATCAAATAAGCACAACCCAACAATAATTGTCAAGCGGCCAATGAAGAGCCTTCAACCTGGTGATAAGAAGGCCCAATTAGATAGCACCTCACTCATCGTGCTTTGACCACTCCACACCTCATACATTGAACTACTGTTTTCAGAGTAACCTGAGGCAGAATCTCGAAAAGGCTTCTGTCAGGCAGTCGAGCCTTGGGCAATCAAAGGTAGTCAGGTGTGATACCGGTCTCACAGGAAGCAAATGGTGTTCCACTTTAGAAGGTTTTCAAATGCAAAGCAGTTAAATTCATGGCAATGTGAGCTTCATGAATTTTCCTTTCAGCTACATCTACGAGTTCACCGCAAGCTGAAGCATTATCAGAACCTCTACGAAATGGCCTGCGCTACAGTTTCTCTAATCAGCGAGCAATACTGCAGAGCATGGAATCGATTCTGTAATGCAAGCTGGTAAGCGGGAGATTTCAAGCGAATCGTCGTCTAGGGCGGGACAAATTGAGAAAATTGCGGGAAGATGAATGAACACGAGAAGAATGAGGATGAAGTTCATACATTACAAGAGCTGAGAGCACTTGTCGCCTCAGAGCAGATGCCGTTGCCTGAGCTGTCACCAAGGAAACTTCAGCTCCAGGCCAGCTATCAAATTGCGTGCAGTGCTCATGAATGACGTTGTGATTGTCGAGTTGAAGCAATTTGAATTTTTATTCCATTCTTTTTGGGTTTCGAGAAAAATGTAAGTTGTGGTTAAGCTGAGTTATGACAAGCAAGGAAGCTCTTGCGTTCCCTCGTCACTCACTACGTGTCGCAGAAACCTCCCTTTTCAATCGACTGGCTGGCTCCGCCATTTTGGGCCGTCGGATCGAACCTGTCGCCAGATGCAATCTCAGCCGCCGATCGGATTTATGGGAACGGATGGAGGGAACGTAGGGGACGGGCAGGCAGGTTTGAGGTCGGGCAGTTTGAGACTGATCCACATATACGTGGGTGCTGAATTTTGTTTAGGGCTGCCTCTCAATCTCAAACACAAAAGTTACTCATTAGTTTATATAAAAGAATCAATGAAATAATTTTTATACAAGAATCCATGAAAGTCTTTGTAGAAGAAATAATATACAGATTAGCTACATTTTAGTTTATTTCATTTTTGTAATAATTTTTTTATTTACACATACTCTATTGAAAAATATTGAAAAATATTGAAAAATATTATTATTATATTTTAATTTGAAATTTTATGAAAAAATATTTAATTAAATCTATTTTTAAAAAAAATTGGTGTAAGAGGGTTTATTTTTTTTTAGTTTATTTTGCAAATCATAAAATATTTTCTACAACTGTTATGTATCTAAGTAGTTTTATAATTAAAATAAATGTGGTTGTATAAACCACTACTAAAAATATGTCTTTTCATTATATATAATAGTAAATACCACAATTGAAATATCATCAAATCAAATTAAGTCTTTGTATTAAGTGCCAAATTTTGCATCCACACTCTTAATAAAAATCTAAATTTTGAAGAACAATTCTACATCTTGGTAAACATCGCATCCCTTCATAATACTCTTTGCAGAGTTTGGTAGGTTCGCTTGTTGGGAGCCACTACCTTTGGTTGCATATCACAATTCTTTTTGTGAAAGACCACCCACCACAAGCTGTTGGGGTCCTGCAACAATTTAATTTAATATTGTAATAAAAAAAATTAAATAATTTATTTTATTCATAAATGTTTCAAACTTTATTTATAAAAATTACACAAATTATATTTTACTTTTTGAGAAGTTTATAAAATATGTGTGTTTACTTGTATTTACCTGTAAATAAAGTTTTACAAGATATAATTTTGAATTGGTAAGTTTTGTAAATTATATGAATGAACACAAAAGAAAAAAAATATAATCATTTTTGTAAATAGAATAGTAAATACCACAATTGAAACAACAGCACTCAAATTACACAATACTTTTTTTTTTACCAAGAATAATTTTTGAATAAAATTTGTGAACACAAAATTATATATAATAGTAATTTTTTGGAAATTTTATATAATAGTAAATATCACAAATCAAAATTTATTTTTAAATAAAAAGAAAAAAAAATTGATTGAAGTAAGAGTGATGGTTGAAAATTGGGATTGAGAAGCAGCCCCTAAACAAACTTCAGCACCCATGTCAATGTGGATCAGTGTGGGAATGGCTTCTGAGTTCCCAAACTGCCCGCCCTCTAACCTGCCCCCCCTCTAACCTGCCCGCCCCCTGGTTCCCCTACGTTCCCAGAAATCCAATCAGCGGTTGAGATTGCATCGAGGGGTAGCAGCGATCCGACAGCCTACGATGGCGGAGCCAGTCTATTGAGGAGTGAGCGACACAATTAATTCGACGAGGGTTGCGTTGCGTTGTGCGGATATGAAATTGGACAGCTCTAGTTCTCTACATTTTGCTTGTTGTCTTTGTTGAGAGAGTTGTTTCCTCAGAACAACGTTGGTTAAGTTCATGGTACGGGGTTTCTTTAGGGATACAAATGTTTTGAGATTTTTCAAAATCGGCCAAACCTTGAATTACTTCTTTCTGGAGTAGTGAGGTCGAGGGTTATTGATTCAGTGTCTGGCTCAGTCTTTTAACGTCTTTCGTGGGGTGGTAGGTAGATGTGATTTGATGTTTGAACCATTTGAGTTTACAGCTTTGTCGAAGATTTTGTCCAATTGATTTGAGCGGAAATTTGTAGCAGCTCTCAGTGATATTCCGGATACTGGCACTCCGAATTCTTGCCTTTACATTGTTGTTTTCAGACAGCTTGTGCTCTTGAAAGGATGATGTTGTAGAGCACGTTCATTTTTTAGTAGTAAAGCAGAATGCAGATTTCGAGGTTGATGAGGGGCCGTTTGGCATTCTCGATTAGAACGTTACTTCGCGAAGTTCCATCTCCCAAATGTCGCATCCCAGGTAAATTTATGGATTTTCTGTGACTAAGAATGTAGAGCATGTAGTAGCAAGAATGGGTGCTCAAAGTCTCTGGTTGAATTATTCACCATCCCACTGATAAAGCTTTGAGGTTTGATTCTACTTAAAGTTCTGCATTGGATTGGGTCACTTGCTATGTTGTAGGAATGCAAGAGGCTGATAAACCCCTTCTTCTATATCACTTTTAAGCTTTGCGGTTCCCTTCATTCTATTCCTGTGCATCGTTCCATTAAGAAGCACTTCAGGGGAACTTCCATGAAAATTGTGTAAATAACAATTGATCCTTTCATTATTTCAGAGGGTTTCACCAGACTCTGGTTTCCTTCAACTAGGTTTTAGCAGGGTTTCGGAATTGGTATCGGTGTCTTCATTGTTTTGGGAAGAATTGTAACCTTCTATGAATTCTAGGTTTGCACTTCATGCTTGACACATTGTGCCTAAATGTTTTCTTTTGTAAACCAGCTAGCTTGGGTTATCAATTTACAAGAATCGATGGTCCTATGTAATTTCATGGGAGTGGGTGATACTTACACGTTTGTGCAGCTGTTGAGAACGAAAGGTTGTCGATATGAAATCCTTTCCAAACAAATTTGCTAATTTTCCTTTTTACAGAGCATTCGGGTCTCAATTCTGAAGGGTTTGAAAGAGGTTACTGTGCGTATCGGCTATTTTATTCAACGAGTATGCACAGAAGTACCGATTTAGCAACATTGAAGCATTTTCAACCGATTTTGCAAATTAGTCGTAAGTGGGATAGGTGACCGTTCCTTTCCAAGTCCTTCACTTGTTCCTTTCTTCTTACATGTCTTGTATATTCTGAAGAGTCTGGATGATTTTAGCTATTCTATCATGACCGCAGCTTTTGTGAGTCACTTTTCATGTATGTGGTGAATCTTGTCAAGCAGGTAGGAATTATGGAATGAAAAAAATTGTGGGATTGACATTTGCCACCAGCTGGTTGGCGGCATGGCATGGGCCTACAGAGGTCATTAAATGTGAGGAGGGTAAGGATTTTTAGGCTTATAAAATCTGAACCCACTGATCTTATCTATTGTTGCATGGGGAAAGCAAAGCGACATTTGTACCTTAGTTGTGCTTCTTGTCAATCATAAAAAAACTGCAGCATTTCCATGCATTTATATTCGTCAAATCTCTCAATGGTTTTAAGACAGTTGTTCAGTTGTAAAACGTTGCAGGAGTTCCAGGGTCAGAGTACGATGGGAATTTTTTACTGATGCTTTGTCTCCCTTCCTCTCCTATTTTGTCCATTGTCTTGCTTTGGTTACATCCTCTAGTCATGAGTCTTGTGTTTTCTGTCGGCCTTTTGCAGTTCATATGGGAGAACTGGCCTCGTCAATGCCGCACGCCGTGATTAAAGTTGAGGAGAGGGATTCTAGAGTTCTAATTGTGCTGAAATACTTATGGATGCCCACAATGGCAATATTTACAGTGATTACTGGATATTATTTTCCCTCTTCACTCGCATTAACCGTGGGTTTGCTCCTATGGAGCACTAAACCCAAGGCGAACTCCATATATGATTGGGTTGAAAAGGTTTGTTACCTTCTCAATTTTACACGTGTGTTCAGCCCAAAAAGTTGAGATATTTAGCTCTTCTATTCTGAGATGTCTCAGCATTGAATTGTGATGGCACAACCTGACACTAAAAATCAAAAGCCGTGAAAGCTGTGTCGCTCGTGTGGAACTTTTTACTTTTAGTTCAACCTTTAATTACTTGTATTTTCTTTCTGTTTGCAGAGAAGGCTGGAAGAAGCCATAGAGAAGCAGAGGATTGAGAAGTTCGGTTTCAATGTTAGTCTCGTCTCCTTACTCCCGATAGCTTGTTTTAAGTATTTGAGCAATTGAATGTTTTCTTCAGAACTCTTATAGAATCGTACTGAGAAAACCGTCAGAATATTGCCGCTATACAATTGGGTTCTGTTGGTGTGAACTCTCTGCCAGATTGTGTTCAAGGTATGGTCCATGATTAAATTCAGCGTCAGATCTAATGAAAGTAAAATGATTGCTGAAGCCAAAGTTGAGGAACTATCTGGTGCTTTCTAGTAGTGTGTAGAGGGTCGAATCCTAGTGCCTCGATTTTCCAGTTTAGTACTAAGAGCTTTGTGGGTGTTGCAGTTTAATCTCAAAGCAACTGTTATGCACGTAGAAGTCCGTGACTATACATTCATTTGTCTTGCTCAAATCACGTCGATGGCACAGAATGCCACTTTGGTGGGGTTCCTGGGCGGGTGGCTTGTGATCTACTCCTCGTCATCCTCCATCACGGCACTTGGTTTGCGCTCAATTTTTCCTGATTCGTATCCTGCTTTTAAAAAATATTTGTCAGATCTGATCCCGGTTTAGTAATAGAGCACTCTGTTGGAAATGTGACATTAGTATTATGACCAGCCATCCCTAAGGGCATCCGCAGTGATTAACTTGGTAAAGCTTTGTACATAGACTTTTCTTGTAGGAGAATCAGTCTACCTACCTTTCGAATGTAAAGCCTGCGAATCCATTTTCTCATCATGAGCTTTAAATTCTGAAACGAAAGCTTCACAATTCATACTCCATAGAATACTTTTGTATTTGGTATAATTACAAACCTGTTGATTGGAAACATTGCGTCATTAGTGTTCATATTCCAATCGTATGTACGGCCTCTCAGATGTTTGAAATCTGCAAACTTTAGAGCGTTGCCACTTGCCAGATATCCTTGAAATACTAAAACTATTTTTCTTGGGATTCCAAATCAGTTGATATCTCGATTTGGGAGTCGTGGTGCCATTTACCGAAGTTTAGAAGTCTTTAATAGAACTGAGAATTCTAGTTCTCAAGCATATCGAGCAAGAATGAGTTTTAGATTATTTTGGTGTATACATTTGGTATACTTCACTTATGTCTTCACCTTTGTCATAAACGATTTTGCTAATTCCTGAGTTCTAGGTACAGATGTTATTTTTTCTGCTGCAGTTCGATCTATTTTTAGATTTAGTCTGCATCAATGGTAATTCTTTTGCAAAAGAATCATTTAATAGATATCCAATGTGGTTATTTTTAGATATTCCACATGTTTTCTCTTTTGAATCTTCATTATACATTATACATCTAATATAACAATTTACAGTCCACTATCTTGCAAGTTTTTTTGGATACATCTTTTTCAACGATTGTCCACTTTAATTTGAAATTTCCATTTTACGTCATGGCTTGTGTAGAAAAAATTGAGGGGTACATACCCTTGAGTATAGGTTCATGATGTACAATATCTATGAGTGTTTATTTTTTATATTGTGGAGTCGTTGAAGACATCTTTAGAATGTGTTATTTAAGAACATCAATCTCATTTTGGCGACCAATGTAAATAAGGCAAATTTTGCAAAATAAATGTAATTGCATTAACAATCATTATTAGTACCATGAAACGTGAAAGAAAACAAAATATCGTCATGCAAACATGTGGGTAACAAAAGCTGCATCAGAAGGTCATTTGGTCATGGAAGACAAATTCAACATACGCAGCTTAAACAAAGACATACATTGCCTAAGCATGATATACAATTAGATGTTTCTGATAACATCTACATCACAGAAAACTCAAGTGAAATTCGTTTTTATGAAACATTTTTTCAAAGAACTCAAGAAATCTCAATCATGCACTGAATAAATGTATGCAACAAGATCTATAACTACTCATTCGTAACATTCAATTTTGATATTTAATCAAAATGATGCAGTCCCAGCCCCACAATTTGGGATAGTCATACCATTGCACATGTGTTTGTTAGTTGAGGCCTCAGCCTTGATTTCAACCTATCAGCTGCACATTCATGGGTTACTGAGGTTTCTCCAAACGCCTTAGAATCTGTGATTTTATACATTCAGAAAATGACTCAGATCCTTCAATTGTTGTGAGGCTCTTTACATGAGCACTTGCGGCTTCCCACAGCAAATTTATGAGGCAGAAACAGTCTCTATATGAGCATAATTTCCTCAGTAGTTCTCTCCTTGCTAATTATCCACGAAGCTGGACGAGATCAATTGCTAACTTAAACTAGGGCCTAGCGAAACTTGCGCAGAAAATTGAAAACCCAAGGCAACATGCGAAACAGCCAAAAGGATTTTTTTAGAATGTTTTTAACGTCCCCTTTCCTATATGTGACTAATGTTGAGTCAATTGCGGAGCCAGAAGCAAGTTATGTTGCTGGAGGATAAACAAAGTTCACTGGATATCTCGTCTTTAGCTCCCCATTCCCAATTCTTTTTCTCCCTCAATCCTTTCAATCTTCCTCCAAGTAGAATTCAAAACATGGAGAATGCACGAGGGTAACGACGAGTAAAATCTTGTAGGACTTGTTACCTAGTGGTCACGGGAGTATCAAGAGTCTTCACATGTAGGCAAAACAAGAAAGGCTGTTCTGGAGGTAAATGACGAATTGACTTCCCTAATTATTTGCGTTCATAATATCGTCATTGTCTCTCAAATAACCTTCATTCTTCATACTCCTCCTGGTTGCTTCTTCGGAAGCCGCTTCTTCGGAAGCCGCTTCTTCCTTCATACTTTCCTGTGTTCTGAACTGCAAATCCAAATTTGCATTTGAATGGTTCCCACTACCATCCTTGGCACTCCTCTTCAACTTGGCAATCCTCTCAATCACTGCCTGCAAATAGTTGTAGTTGTGGAGCTGTTAAGAAGTGACGCGATTTTTGATGCGCAAATGAATGAGACTTTTGAGGTGCTGCTAAAATCTAACAGTAATTTCCAGACTCATAAACGTCAGTCAGAAGCTCAGCATGCAAACTGTACAATGATAGTGGGTGTATTACGACTTCAATCCAATTACTGATATGAGGAGGCGTAGATTCTCTGGGAGAACGGTTAATGACAACCAATTACCTGCAAGGTGATGTCGAAGGCATCCTCAACGTCAGGTAGAGGACTTGGTAACCGTGGATCTGCATAGACAATTCTGGGAAGTATGTGAATGACCATCCTCCTCATATTAACAATCTGCTCAGGTGTAAACTTGAGCAACACTTCTTCAATACGAATGGTGTTGTTCAAGATGAGCCTCTCATCGATCAGGACAGAATAGGAAGAGTGGTTGATAGGTAGATGCCACTCATACTGAACATATGCGGAATAGGGGTGAAAAAATACAGGGATGCACCCCGCAAGCATGGCGTCGAAGGTAGAGCGGCGCGTGTAAGAATCTCCAGGGGGTTGCAAACAGAAGATGGAGTGCTCAAACACCTCCATCACCTTCTCGGGCATGGTACAAACATTCTCCCTGCAGTCTAAGAGCCTGCAATGGTTTGAGTGGATGCACTGATTGACGATGTTTCCACGAATGGAATACGATAGCGCCGGCCTGGGCGCCCCCACAAAAGAGAAGAGAAATGGCCTGTCGATTGCACGCATCTTGTTTTGCCAGTGGACAATGGAGGTTTTAGAGGATGGATGGAAGTATGTCGGATAAGGAATTGCGAAATCGTTATCATCCCAAGTACTTGCCTCTATTGTGAGGAAGGTCATATTAGCCCCTAGAGGAGAGACGAAAAGCTTGTTCCCCCAATCCGTTTCCTGGTCTGACGGCCGCCGGAAATCCCAAGTTATTCGTCCAGCAACCAAGAAATGATCGTGTCCATTAAATCTTTTCCACTCAGCTCGATTAGCGAGCCAACTCTGCAACTTCTCAGGAGCATCGTCTCTCTCCGCGATATTGGCTCCCCACAATTTGGTTGTAATTTCCAAGCCAGCATAGAAGGGTACAAATATAGCGTCTGCGCGGCTGGAATCCCTGATGAGGCACTTGTACTGCCGCATTCTGTTGTGAAAAATTAGCTCGAGCATGAACTGGTTGGTTGCGTACCAATCCAAGTCGGAGAGCACGTCGTCAATATTGTCCAGCGGTGGACCGAGGCCTGCATTTGTAACGCTTGGGCACATGGTTTCCCATAGAACTTTCTCGCATTGAGTCACGAAATCCTCGTTGAAGCAAGGGTCTAGCTCGTAAACGTAGACGTAGCGACCTTCGCAGAGATCCTTCACAGGCTGCTCCACGAATGGACTTGGTTTTTCCGCACTGTGCGACTGCGATACCGCAATCACAGGTGGCATTCTTTCCCCGGGAGAGAGGACACAATCAAGTTTCTTGTCCCCATTACTTTCATCTTGACATCCTTCTGAATTCGTATGCCATGTTTTATTACTTTCCAGCACCTCAATTCCAGAAAAACCCTCGGCGCTTGTGGAGTAATCTTGTTGGCTCGTGCCTATTGGGCTCTCCCTTGGCTCAGTGTCGTCTTTGTGCAGAGAACGCAACGGTTGTCCTATCGAAGTTTGTAATGGAAGAGGCCGACGATCATAGGAGAAACGTACCACAACAAGCGACCACCACAAGACGAGGCCGATTGAAACCAGTACACACTTTGTGCGAAAGCGGGAGATCAAGATTTTCGGTTTATCAGGCATACCCTCTTTCCACACTGGCACCTGAACCATCTTGGGCGAAAAAAGTGGATCACCTCCGTGTGCCCGTCATACCCGAGTCTTCCTCACAAATCAGTAGACTCAAAAAGCTACGTGATGGAGAGAGGTGGCACCTGTCTGTCCCCCACAGTCTGCCTGCTCGAGCATGAATCATGGTACCTGGCGAAACTGTGAGTCTGTCTTTGAGTTTCACCTTTCAGTCCACGAAGACTGCAGTCTCGACAAAGTGATCATTTCCTCATTCTGCAAAAGCAACGACACGAGTATGAAGGAATTGAAAGATCTGGGAGTCAATAATCTTCTGTATTTGTGGAAAGAACAGAAACAGACGCTGGATTATGAAATTGAATTCCGATGGTAACAAAAATACGAGTAGCATGACACAAAGGGCTGCACCTTGACCTCCAAAGGTGGTCTGCTGATGCTTAAAAAGTTCCTAAAGAAAGGCTGTAAACCCTGCCACTGGATTTACCACACAGAGTACTTGAACTACAACTCTCCAGAAAACACCAGTACAGAAAACACTTTATGAGGATGTTTTCTACTTGTTCACCGTGCCCTGATCTGAAAACCAAATTTTAAAAAAAATTACTTAAGTCAACCACACTTAGAGAATTTCAGAAAATTTTGAGTATCACTTGATTCATTCTGTGATAGTAACCTAGTCTGAAACCCAAAGGTGACTCACAGGCCTCTTAAATTCAATGCGGGATCATACGCGAGGAAAGCTGCTGTGTACAAGAATTAGAATCAAACTGTTCTTCAAAGGAAAGAACAAGGCCAATGGATTGATGAACGAGATTGCTGGAATCCATAAGCAGGGAACCAATCACAACTAACTGGTATCCACACAGCGCAATACACTTGGAAGTACTCTCGTTAAAGAAAGCACAAAAGAAATCGACCCCGATGATCAAAAACCGCGCCTAAAGCATCGAACAAGATCCATCGCAACCTGGCTGTCAAGGGAATTGAGAAAGACCCACACGACCGCAAGAAAATTAGCGCCAACTGCAAGTGCCATACACAACATTTTGGGGACGAAGCGCCGAGCAGCAGCCACATCATTCGAAACGGATTCACAGAGACATCGAAACGATCACCGAAACAAACAAACAACGCTCCATGTCTTGCTCACCCTTCCCAACAACATCATAACGCTCCACAGTGCTAACGTCCACAACCAGCTTCTCATAACCTTAACCAAATTCTTGCAAAGATTAGCTCGCATTCAAAACCACATCACCACGAACTCCCGCTGCAACTTGGAATGCCAAATCTCAACGCTCAACGCTCTGAACTCCATGAAACCAACCGAAAGTCCTCAACCACAATCCAGCCATCGATGAAAGCATCCTCCAAGCTACAATCCAGCCATGCAAACCCAAATGCAGGACAAATCTCCATGCTCCCTGCAGCAAAGCAAAGGATCCCCCAATACAACAACGCTACGAAAACCTCATGAGAGAGAGAGAGATATGCATCAAAGTGTGTTGTGTATGCAATTGTGGAGGTGGGTACCATGTCAAATGCAAATCTGGTGTGAGAAAAACTAAAAAGAGAATGAATGCATCGATAAGCGATGGTCTTATTCCAACGCTGATGTTCTGTTCTGTTCTGTTACGTTATGTGCTGTGGGGTCTCTTCCTTTCTTTCTTTCTTCCTTTCTTCCGTGGTCGTTTACTTAGGCGGCTGTGACATGGATCGGTGATTCAAGCACTTGATACACAAGCTGCATGTCTTGAGTTGCTGTCCATGCACTTCATTATCACTGCATTCTACTCACATAATTCTACGTATGTTTGTGTGTGTCTATATATATATATATATATAATGGGTTTTTATTGCATTGCAAGAAAGGGGCTCCGTATCATTTTTGTATTTGTGGTGCAATAAATCACAATAAAGTCTGTATATAGATTTTGTGTATTAAAGTTATTGTTGTAATTTATATTTTAGTTTTTATGAGAAACATTTATGGGTTTTGACTCTTGTTTGAGAAATTCTTGGAAAGAAGTATGTGTTGTTGCTCTTTGCAATATTTAGTAGTGATTATTTTTTTTACCTTATTTACCAAGGTCAATGTTATTAGTGTGTTGAATAATTGATACAAAACTAAATAGAATGTATATATATATATATATATATATATATATGAATTTTTACATGTATTTTGCTTTATGAAGAGTATTTTCTATATATGTGCCTATATCAATAAGCATGTAAATATATAATTGTACTCAAACCAACTTGAGATAAATTTAATTATTCAAACTCTTACAGTGGCTATTATAGAATCCTAAATGAAACACATAATAAGTAATAAAACTAACCTATTGCATCTTAACTATTTCTTAGTAAATAAAATTTTTAAATAATAAAAAAAACAAAAATATGTATTAGAAACATAATTTTTAAATTTTATTTTATTTTAGTAAATAATATCCAACAACTATTGAAAAGTATTCTACTTTACTTTTTAGTCCAATTTAAACTTAACTCTATATTAAATAATTGAAATATTCTTTGTGATAAAAGATTTACACATGTGCAAATATATATATATATATATATATATATATATATATATATATAGAATATTTTTTAATAAAAAAGTATATCTATCGATATTTTATTATTCACTTATCATTTATAATTTTTTATTTTAATTGACCATAATCTTATTTTTAAATCTTTATATAAGATAAATATTAATATTTTGAAATAGTGTTGATTGAAAATTATTATTCTTATATAAAAATATATATATATCTATAAAGAATTCTACTAAGCTATGCTAAAAGATTTAATTCAAATATATAGCATAGATTATAACAACTTGTTACAACTTGCATGGTCTACTTAATCAAAATTTAATATAAAATATTTTTGATAAAAATTAAGAAATAGTTATAAAAATTAGACATGATTTCAAATAGTAGATTTTAGTTTTTTTAATCTCATAATATAGTTGAAAAATCTTGTAAATTAATAAATTAGAACATTAAATATTCTTTAGATTAAAAAAAATTATATAAGTATACAAGTATATATAATAACTTGCATTTAAAAATTATGATCAAGTATTGCTTAAAATAAGTACAAATATTTTTTAAATTATACTATATTTAATTATTATAATCTAGCAAGTATTGAATTAATATTAATTGGATAATTCATTAGAGAATGTTGATGATAATAAAGATGATTGGATTTGATAATGCTCTTTAACTTTGTCTAAAAAATATAATTAAAAATATTGCCTTAAAATTTCTATATAAATAATCTATCTTGTAATATAATATTTGGTTGGAGTTGCTATTGATCCACTCCTAGATGGTGTTCGTGTTGGATTACAAACTTTGATTTAATTAAAGTAGAGAGAATCTAATAGCTCATATATCTGTATTTATTTTATCAATTGTACAAACAAAGATGCAATCTATTATGACCAAGGTTAAGATTCTATACAAGAGTCATTGTCTAACAATGTCTACTTGGACAATCTATATTGTCTTCAACTTCTAGATAAGTCTATTTACAATTTTGCATTAATGTCATTTATGTAGGAGCATTGTATGTATTTCAAAGTATAAAGGTATGTAATCTTGACTATATATTAGATTGTGGCAAAAGACATAAATAATTGGAGAAGCATTCTTAGACTTCGTCATTTATGTTAGTCATATGACAAGAATACAATTTAATATTGTAACACATTCAATACCAAAACATTTTCAAATTCTATACATTATACTACTTTTATTCTTAGACTCTTTGTATTGTATAATGTTGTCTTATAACACATTTAAAATGCATGCAACATAATAATACACTACATTAGACAAAAGCATTGTAAGACACTTTAGCAAAAAAAATTAAAAATAAATAAATAATTATATTATTTATTTATGCATTAATTTTGCAATCAAATATGAAAATTTAATAAATTTAATAAAAATTTAAAAAATTAATATAGAATATTATAAATAGATGTATTTATAAAAGGTATTTCAAAAATAAGAAAAAAAGATAAAATCAAATTATTATGGCACAATCAAAATTTGGGAGAATTTTATAGATGTGAATAGCATTAATAGATTATATTATTCATCTTTTATCATTATTTCTTTTTTACAAATAAAATAAATAAATAAACAAATAAACAAGTAAATAAACCAACAAAAATAAAAATAACAACAATTTTAGATGCAAACTTTAAATTAAACTCATTACTTTTAAACTTATTCTTCATGCCAAAAGTTAAAATTCTTATAAATGAAGGTCATCTTTCTCTTTTATAATTAATAATTTGTATCTTGTAGTAGATTTTATATTAGTACTCTCTTATTGACTTTACCATTTTCTAAATACATTTTTTTAACCTATTTATCTACTTTTATGGTTTTCAAGTTAGTGAGTGAAAGTTTGAAAAAGAATAGAGAGTCAAGAAGAAAGTGCCAATAAAAAAAATATTGAAGAATATAACTTCTTAGTAGTATAGAAAGAAGATGGAACATAATTTTTAGAGAATATTAATTGAAGGCATAAGAAGGAGAGCATGAATTTTGTGTTCTATCTAAATTTTCCTCCTTAAGTTGTATTTTTTATGTATAAATAAGATTTTTTTTCTTTTATAAATGAAATAAAAGGTGATGAAGATAAGTATGTATTGTCATTAAAAATAACCATCTTTTTTTTAATAAAAGGATAACAATGAGCTTTAAGAAGTTTTTAATTTATTATTTAATCATTGGTTAACATAGATTTTTTTTAAATATATTTTCTCAATGCATTTTTTTTCTATTCATAGCACAATTACTTGGCATGTCATGAGTAGAAATATTATAAGCTCTTCAAGTTCTATGTGCCATTCTAAGTGCTTGTATTGATTCTAAAAAAATGTAGCATTTAACAAAAATGACATCAATTGCATAAAATCAAAGAATGTCATTAAAAACAATTTCATGAGTTTAATTGCAAAAAAAGAAATACATTAAAAACATCTTAAATAATTAAATTAATAAAAAAAATACAACAATTATAAATTTATTGGAATCAATCATTATTTATCGATAGAAAATCTAATCTACAGTTAAAGAAATCCATAAAAAATAAAAACCTTAAGTTTCTTCAAAGCAAAAGTTACTAGTTGTTTGAAAACTGTAAGCATTTATAAATTCATAAATACAAATAATAATAATAATAATAATAATAATTCTTAAATTTTCTTTTTAAAACAATGAAAACTAGTATTTGAAAAGCTAAAAAGAAATAATTCTTCTTCTTACATTTTAAACATGTACATAGTTGTCCCTGCTCTTTTCACATACTGTGAGCACAGCTATGCACACAAGTTTAGGGTTTTATATGTGTGGGTTTTATTAGTGCTAACTCGGTAAGCTAGGTAACCCAACTTCGTTTGCTTCACCTTCATTTCTTTCTTAGTGATTAGGTTTCGACATAGCTGCAAGTTCACCGTCAAACCTGAGCTGTGGTCAAAGTATGTGAAAAGAGCAGAGAGACAAGGAGCTATGAAGTGAAGAATCTTAGGTTTTCCATGTGCACATGAAACTGCAAGCATGGTAATGCAACTCTGCCCTCTTCTCTTCGTCTTCTCTGTCATTAAGTTCAATCCACTTTTTGGAGCTCAAATATGGTGCAGCTTTCTAACTTACAACTGCGGATCTGTGTTGAGTCGACAGAACGTGGTTGTCGCCGGACACACTTGCAGTCGCGTATGTTGTCTAAACCAGGTCTCGGGAGTATGATGCGAAGTTCTTAGTATCATGCTGTTTTTACGAGAATGTTGTGCTAGCTAGGCAAACTGCTGGACTTGCTGGGCTAAGATGTGATTAGTATGACATGCTGAAGATGGCTTTGAACATCGAAACTACTGTTCGGAAGCTTGCTCAAGTGAGCTGAAGAACCCCACAAGCTTGAACACTGGAAATACTTCGCTTGAAGGCCTCTCCAGAATTTCGAGATGATTTGTTTGTGGCACTGCATGCTGGATGACAGTATTCTACAGGATTTCGGATACATAACGAATGTTTTTTTGAGATTCGGTCTCTCCGAAAATAAATTTGTGGGAAGTATACCCCAGTGGCTGACGTCTGCGACGAATTTAAACAGAATTATGCCACCAGATCTGCATTAAACACCATCGGCAATGCCAATTAACGATACCTTCACGGATCGTTTTCCAAGGGTTAGTGATCCAGCTTGTCGGCACCCCAGTTCGACAACAGCAAGATGATGTGAGTTGTTGTGGAAATCTTCTCAACAGCAGCAATAATGTTTGTCTTTGAATGATGTTGCATCATCAGGAAGGACAAGCCATTTTCGCAACCATGGGGAGCGAAGCAATAGTTCATGGCACGAAACGGCTTCACAGTGCAGAGGATGAGTTCGCAGTCTGGAACGAGAGTGATGCTATTGGAAGAGGTGGGTCTGAGGAAGTCCACGATGAAGGAACTTAATATTTCAGGCAAAAATGGATGTCATTTGAACTACCATGCTCTCCTCACTCGCTTCAAAAGCTAATAAATTACAACTTTCTACTCTGGTTACGAAACTTGGATTCATGGCAGCAATTACAACTCAAAGCTGCTAGTTTACGAATTCACGGCCAAAGGTGAGATTTTGCACATGAAGTTGGGAGTTACTCTCGACTGGAGAATTTGGTTGAGGATCGACCCAAGCTCTGCGCAGCTATGAAACTCTAAGCTTATACACGCCTTATTTTGCAGGTTCCCATGGGTTACATTGCGCCTGATAGGCTTCATGTTTTCTCTCCCTCTGATTTATCGCCTCCTTTGGCACAACCAGATGCCTCGAATTTCTAGACATGCGTTCGTGTACATGATTAGAACGTGTAAAAATACGCACCTTGTAACACCGTAGGGTTCAGCACAAAGTTTGCAATTTTAAATGTCTGTTCAAATTGGTAATCCATGCATTCCACTTGATGTCGTCATTGTATTAAGACTTCTTGCTGACCTATGCATCAATCTTAAGGATATTTTCTTCCATTAAGAATATGTTTTAATGAATCGGCTAAAAGGTTGTGTTTACAGCTTTGACGTCGTTCTTCTTGAGCTGATTAGCAGCAAGTAACCCACGGATCATTCTTTTAGTGAGGGAACAAACCTTGTGAAATGGGTTAAAACGGGAATACGGAGTAAAGAAAGGATCAACGAGATCATAGACCACTGCATCAGATCCCCTCCTCCCAGCTACTATCTCTTCCCTACTCTGACAAAACTAGTTTTCATGCACACTTCATGTTCCGCGTCCATCGATGCAAGTCGTTGCATTAATGCTGATGGGGGAAGTCCAAAAATGAAAGAAATCTAGAGGTACTGAAAAGCTGCATGAATGTTATATTCGTGTCTGATATTGCTACAATAAATTAGTGGTTTCACAGAATTGCTTTAATTTAGTGCTCTGCTGTAGCTTGTAGACCAACAACCAAAATGGTCTTCGTTCACCACTTCGCCGACACTGCCTTTTTCAACATGACCACTGGATTCAACAATTCTGCGGGTGAAACACATCCATTTCTGCAGTAGCAAAGGAATTGTGAGTTAATTTCGTAGAATTTTTTGTTTTTTTTGTTTTTTTTTATTTTTATTTTTATCAAATCTAACTGTAGATGTGGGTAAAGCACAGAAATCCTGGACAGACTCTGACTCCACGCCTGTGTGGGGCTCGATCCAGAACTTTTGTACCAGATCGCACCTCCTTCTAACAAATGGCAACGTCCGTTCTGGGCCAGATTTCCAAGCTTGACTTGCCAAGTCTACATACTTAAAAAAAAACCAAAAAAAATAAAATAATAATACTAATAATAATTCCCCCCGATAGAAAGTGACTGCACCAGAGCAAGGCGTGCTTTGAGCGAGTTTTTAACTGAAGAAGAAAAGAAAAAACTGCACTTGATTCGCATTTTCCACTTCACTGTACAAATCCTACACAACTAGAAATGCTTGAGTAATGAGATCAAGTGAAACCAGTACACAGTGCTTTTTTATCCCTTCACTATGAAGAGCTAGCAAGTAACAGTTCTAAAGTTATCAGAATGATTTAGACTATTGACAGTGTAGAGCCTAGACTGATTGTCTATTTATATATATATATATATATATATAATTTGTTGTTGCTTGTACTTGGCCACTGTTGGAAGTACTGAGATGGAGCATGTTTCAACAACCATATGATATTCTTGGACGCATATCCCTCATGAAATCATATACTGTGGGGAATTGCCTCCCCATCATCAATCAGCCCCACTGCCATGCCCTTTTTCTAGAATATATTGTGTGGGTTTCTGACTTTGGTGCTGTTGCATTGAAATGTTGGTACACTGTGTCTGTGTACTATAGGTTCCCCTCCCTCCCTTTTCTTAAGATTGGACCTTGATATTCATGCAGTTGGACTGAGAGCTTTGTCAAGCTTTAGGGCTTGTACAAAATTCTCAGTCATGGTCTGTTATTACTTCTTCACCATCAGTGGTTTTATGTTGACCACATTGGACTTCCACATGTGGTGCTCATGGGGTTTCATTTTTATATGCTATATATATATATATATATATATATATTGTAATGATAAAAGAGGAAAAAGGGGGGGGATAGGAACAAGGAAAAAAAGAGGAAAATCAAGATTTTTTTTGTATATATATATATATATTAGAACTCAATAAACATACACGTGTGAATTTAATTAAATTGATTCTAGATTAGTTTAATATTAACAAGAATAATTTTTGGTTTTTAAATTTTATTATTTTATATTATATTTTATATCAGTTTATGTTATAAAAAATACAGAAATTAGATAACAAAAATAATGATATTTTTAATTTTTTTCTTTGAATGTATTTGCAAATTTAGAAACTAACTTTATACCGTGTACTGTTTTAATACAATAAATAATGATTTTTTATACTTAGTATTATTCACTTATTATTTTGTGACTCATACAAGCTAGTAAGTTGACTTGTTAAGTCCAAAAGATCCTTGCCTAACTTAAAAAGGCACCACTTGTAATATAATTCTTTAATTTTGTAGTATTAAAAAGAATTAGGTATAAAAATATAATGACTAGATTACCTTTGAATTGGTTAAAGTTTTTTATGTTTGCAAAATAGTATTTTACATATAATAAGAAATTATTTAAAATTAAATTTTACAATAAAAGTAAAAATTTCAAAAGTAAAACAATATTTCGTATATGTAGAATATCCTAATTAGAATTGGCCAGCACAAAACAAAAAAATAAGATGAAAAAAAAAACAAAAAAAAACAAAACAAAATAAAACAAAAGCATTCCAAGTAGCTGCCAAAAGCTTGAGAAAGTTATAGATTATCGTAATATTTAGAAATCTAATATAATCTAAAAATAGTTTATTTGATTAAGTGTAGTACTACTTTATTTTATTCTATTTTCATAGGCAATAGGTATGTTGGTTTGCTTGTTATACAATTGTCTTGATAACATAGCATGCATACAAGTTTAAAAGCCTATTGGTATTCTCTTGCCACTACTTTTTTAAGAAAGTAGCACATGCAATTTCAAATAGATCTCCAAATAAATTTTCATTATTATGAGATTTTGTGAAAACACATTACTTTGCAAAAAGATTCAAAATAAACAATAAAAATATTTTCTACTTATATATATATATATATATATATATATATGCTAAATAGACCTAGACTTTTACTAAATTGATCCACCCATCTTTACCATCATAAAAAGAAAAATAAAAATGACCTCTAGATTTATTTCTCCACTACTAGATCTGAAACCAATGAAATCCAACCACATTCATCATGATTACTATGTTTTTTTTTTATTATGGGTAGGTTGATTTAGTAAAAACCTAGGTCTATTTAACATTCCCCTATATATATATAAGCATAAACCTATGCCATTAGGCATTACATTCTCAGGCACATCCATTCATTTCTTCATTCATCCACACTTCTATGTTTCCATGGTCCAAGGTTCTCACATTTCTAGATTCCTTGGTTTGTATCTTCTCACATTCCCTGGTTCCATGGCTCTCATATTTCTTAATTCATGGGTTTGTATGTTCCTATGTTCCCTTGTTCCTTGACTTCTCCAAGTTCCCTTCTTCATGGCCAATCAAAAGACTTTTTGTCGCTTTGTGTTATACCCAAATTATCTTATACATAATAGATAGATATATATTTTGGGCTTGGCCCATAAGAACCCAACAAAACATTCATTATAATAAGGAATGTAACCCTCAAATCAAGCCAAGCAAGTGCTATCATCCCCTTCACAAACACCCATCCAAACTCCCTCTCCCCCATGCAGAGCCTGTGCAAACCCATGGTGCACGTGGACAAAACCTGCTTGCCACATAAGCCGCTCAGAGGTCTGACCTCACGGAGATCGACAGCTGTCAATGTCCTCCACGCCAGCCTGGCCTTGATCCAACCCCCACAACCCCCTCCATTATGCAAGGTCTTTGTAGCCACGTGGGACTGGCAGAAGTGGGTGAAGCGCCAGCTGGGTTTGAGGCACTTGGGGAACGAACGAACGAACGATCGAGGGACGAACAAAGGAAGAAGTCGCCGACTTTATTGAGGTGGAAAAAGTACCGTAGCTGGATATGACGCTAAACCTGGAGGTGGGGGGGGGGGGGGGGGGGTTTCCATAACCTATTTTCGGCATCATCAGCGAAATGCTTCATTGCGTTTAAAAATCGGGGGGCTATATTTGGAGGTAGCGGGGAGAGTTGGCAGGCACTGTGCCGAATCCAGAATGCGGTGAAGAAAATTCGGGAGAGACTGCCTCGATCACGGCGGTATCCGAACAGGAAGTACACCGCAGTCAACCGGCGATGTCAGTGCTCCGGCTAAAAGTAGCAATCGGATTTTGTCGTAGGCGGAGTTGGGCTTAATTCGATATATTTGCATGGTCGTTGTGGGAGCAGATCGCTGCTCCTGGGCATCGAAGTTGGGGAGATATGGAGTCATGAGGTAGTTTGGCACATCACCGTGAATCGACAGTGGCATGATTTCCTGGTTGAAGAAGATCTACAGCACAGCTTTTACTCATGGCAGTGGTTGTAATTCCCAAGAGTTTTGGGAGTCCATGGCCGTGCCATGCGCCTCGATCTCGGGCACGCATCCCGTCTTGTCTCATGAAAAGACCCCTATGGTTGCAGTCGTATGGTCTAGTGGGCGACGACGAGGTGCTTGATTGATTGCAGGGTTGGTTCCTATAGCGTTGACCGCATCATGTCCTTAAGCTGTGTTCGCGACCTCTAATCTGAATCTTGCCCACTGCTTCTCTGTCTCCGGGGATTAGCTTCCAAGGTCGAGTCTAGTCTCAGCGACGCGGAAGATTCTGCATCCTCTCATGTGATTGTCGAGATTGTCCCTCAGGATGCCTTGGTGGTGAGATTTGAGAGCTGTTGGGGTGGATGGATCCATGGTCGGCGCACCAAATGGAGGGGGAATCGTGACGACGCGAAGGTAACTCATCTGCTGTCAGGCTCTGGGTGCCCTCGGTTGTGAGTCTGCCTTTTTCGTGAAATGTTTCTTGTAATACTTTGCAGGAAGAGGATTAGGTTGGTAGCGGCGTCTACGTTGCGAGGATGCAACCAGGACAGCAGTGGTAGGGAACTGGTGTCTTTCATGAAATAGCATTGCTGTGGGTATTGAAGTGGGTGGTGATGCCATTCATCGACAGGCTTGAATTACACCGTGATCGATTCTCAGGTTGCTGAGAGTTTTCGGACTCGTCTCTCTGGATACGTTGTGAGATTTCGTCTGTAGCCCGTCTTAGGAAGAGTGTTTTCCACGATTTCGAAGTTTGGTAAAGCTCATGCCAAGGGTGAGGTTTCTGTTCATCAGGGGCGAGCTTCCTTCGACACATTTACTAGTCAGTGAAACAAAAGTACACGGAATGAGTCGGAGAAGAAGACGAAATGTAGTTTCAACAACGAGAGGGATTTTGTTTTGCTTCTCGTAAGAATCAGTACGGGTTGCTATTCTCACCGCCTATATGGCTAGCTATGGTTTGCGTATCTTTACTGGGAGGACGCGAGCCATTTGCGAGCACCTTTGTCGCACTTTGTTTCCGGTGCACTGGGACTGGCGAATTCCTAAGTCGTCGAGGTGTAGAGATGCAACTGCTTGGGGAAGCCTAATGTTAGTGGTTCTTTCTAAGCTTTGAGTTCGTGACGGATAACGGCAACGCTCAATTCTGAAAGGTTTCAGTGTAGTTCCACATTTGGAGATGAAGGAGGTATTTAGGGCTTCTTACTACTGGTGCCAACAGCTTACATAGTTGTGTGCATTTTTTCTTAATTTTGTTTCCTGGATTTGAAATATACATTAAATCCTGCAATGACGAACGAGATTAGGAAGCCAGAAGTGAGTGAGCGAATTCTCGAGAGCACCGAGATTAGGACTTCTGAATATTCCACCTTGGCGGCACTGATGGGCATGGAAGACTCAACAAACGCGAGATGCTGGCAGGGAGAGACGGAGCTAGGAGTTGGGTTGGGGTTTGGCAGTTCTTTAACAAGGCAAAAAGAGAGCTGCTTTTCACCTTATGCTGGATTCGAAATTCTCGAAAAATCAAGATCGACGCAGCTAGGGACACCCAAGCATCATCGTCCAGGCCATGGAGTCTTCACGTGCTTCCGGCACAGTACTCTGAACCTGGTATGGCTCTGCTTCACTCCCGTTTTCCGCAAACTGAAGCATTCTCCTTTAGACTGAATATTTGCACTTTCGATCGTGACCACGCTGTTGTCGGCCTGATTGTTGGCCGGCCTGCTTGCATTTGGATGGGCAGGCGGTTCCGGATTTGGAACCCAGCACACCACCGTCTAGGAGTGGACCCATAGCAGCGCCTCGCACGAACGGTACTGCAAATATCAAATCTTCTTTCATGGACGAGGCTATTGTTCACCACTACCAACAACCTCACAGTGATGGGGATCTGGATCTCGAGGAACCTACCTCTCCAGTTGTGAATTGCATGGGCCAAGTGCGACAAAAGAAGGCGGAGCGGCGGCCTAAGAAGGTTGAGCCACCGAGGGAACTGGACCCCAGGGAGAAGCTACGGAGGATGAAGTCGCAAGCGCCAAGGACACCACCAGCAAAGGCAACTAAGTCCAAGTCGTGCAAGTGGAAGCAGCTCATGCGATCCACGTCGAGCTCCATAAGTCCCAGCAACCATCCCCTCGGTGACGGAGAGCCTGATATAATTGACCTCGGTCGCTTCAGCTCCGCAAGTTGCTCCTCAGAGCCTTTCATCCACAGTACCGGAGAAGTGTCGTGCCAGATTGACAAGCGCTCGGATAAAACATTTCAGCTAATGCGGCGGAAGACTGTTTGGAGCTGCACCCCTAGTTCTGATACCTGCCGAGGAAACGAGACCTCGCCCACACGCTCGCAAGAACTGGATGCTGCAACCGATTCTGCAAATGTGGAAAGCGAGCTTAGAAGAACAGTGACCGAGTGTGAACCAGTATTCAAAAAGCTTCCAAGCTTGAAGACGATGAGAGTGGAATCCCCCAAGTGGCTCGCAGGCGAGCCATTGAGGGGCAGACGACAGGTGGCACTGAAGCAGATAATGAGTTCATCCACTTCACCTTCGAACAGTATTTGATTCTTGTGGAAGACAGACACAGCTTTGATCTTTGAGGGTGGAATCGATTCCCAGCCAAGTTGTAAGTCTGAGCGAGGTCAGCAGTAGAAAACGTCGCGATTGTCGAGCATTGTAGTCCATGAACTGGTTACATTTGTCTCGGAAGTGGCGACTGCTTCAAGAGCGATGAAAGAATCTTCAAGACAGCCAGACGAGGCTTCGAAGTGCTGCTCCTTGCTGCCTGGGGTCTGTGGGTGTGGGGCAGCGGCCGATTACCACCCTGTTCCACTGGATCCATCTGCTCTACGGCTCACCGTGAAGCATTCCATATTGTCCAGATCGATGTAGAAGAAAATTTCCTCACGTTTATGACAATAAATGTAGAGGGTTTTACCACGAATCGGGTTCATTCACGAAATGAACCCCGAAATTTAAGCCATTGTTCCTGCATCAATAGTGATTGGCGTATGTTATTATCAAGTGATTGAGGAAATAGAGATATCAGTGATTTGGACTTGCGCTGCCGTTTTCGAAGTTGTCAAGAGTAGGCCGCCTTCTCACCTGGCGAAGTCAAGCAGAAGGGTGAGTTTTGGTTTTATGGCACGTCGTCATCGATGTCCGGACAATGATGGTTAGAATGATGCGGTTCGGATTTGATTGCCTTATTGGTGTTGAACGAGTGCCATGTTCGTAAGGTTTAGAGCTCGTACTCATCCTCACAATGCAAAATTCGAAGTTGTCATTATGATCCAATAGAATTAAAATCAGAAGAGAATTTCGAGAGAGGCTTTCGCCCACCACAGATAGGACGCTTCCTGGAGCTAGTTTGAGGGGGACACTACACCTATCATCACGACTTTTATGATAGAATGTCCGATGCAAAATAAAGGAGAGTTGCGTAGAATCAGGGACGAAAAGAAAACCACCTGTTCTGGATAGCCCGCAAGCGGTTGAGAAAAAGGGGGTTCAATTTCCACTACATTGCCGTCGCTAGCAGTGCGAAAGACGATGCGAAGTTAAGATCGGCTCTATTCTTTGCTTGAAAAGATGTACACAGGTAGGAACATCACCATGCGTCGATGCGAAGGGCAGAACAGGGGATGAATATACTAAGCCCATTACCTCCTAGATCTGTTCCTAAGCAGCTTCTCAATGTCCAGAAATCTATTCAGAACTGAAATAATGAAGAGACGAGAGGGAATTCATCTTCATGTGACAGCCATTCCGACAGATTTAGGTACAAAATAATTTTAGCTGAATTTGAATGAACCATTTTCAGAGTAAGAATTGAGAGGATTCTTCGAGCATACCGATTATACATTTATCAATCGTATCATCACCGCATTAAGGCGAAATAACATAGAAGAGCTTGAAGCAGTTGCAAAACATCGCCGAACTCCCTGTGCATGTGAGGCGGTTTCTCACGGCTGAATCTAGTGATAATATAATGATTAATCTCCTTTCTTCAATTGTTCAATTCTTCACAGTTTCTTTTGAGTATTGATTTATTTGGCAAATTTAATCCCGCGCATTATTTTCTTCTTCTGTGTTCAGTTTAGAATTAGAGTTCACAGCGACTCACCTTTGTACACCGATTGAGCTTCTGGCTATTCATGTCACATGTGAGGATTCCCGTGCCTTACCAAAGAGCATATGTGCAGCTGAATCGGCTTAACATATCGGAGTCTCAGAGATCACTCTTCCCAATCATGGAACTCGGCACCTCAACCATGTACCTGGATTTTACACTGGCGCCGAGTGGTTCAAGGACGAGCACTTTGAAGGTATTCTTGCAACTACGAGATCCTGGAGGAGGAGTGCAATGGGTCGCCCCACCGCTGCTTCCTCTACTTGTGATCTTTGACAAGCCGTACATGAATTTTCTAACTCATTTGCCTAATATTCTGATACGAATAAAAATAAAACTAGATTGCTGAAACATAACTTATCTGACGGGTTACATTTGTCTTACGTCTCATTAATTTTGAACCATTATACCATTATCATTGGTTGCATTTGAAGTTACTCAGATTGATATACTTCGAAAAAATTAGTAAAATAAGGTCCAAATTTAGAAGACTGTTCAAAAGCTTATTGAATCGATTTAATACTGAACTACAATATAAAAAATGAAAATCATGAAATCATGTACAGTCATTAACAACTTGATTGTGAACTGGTCGACGTGTTTTCTCACAGTGTCGTGTACCCGCATGTGCATTGGCAACCGAACGCGATCCGGCGATCTTTAGAGCTTCTTCGCTGTCGGGCTGGGGCAACACCGTCTCTTTTTCTGGCGATCAAGGGAAACTGTGGACAGTTTGACGTATTTTTAAAGTTTCCTCGTTCCATCTAGTGGTTTCTGGAAGGATACGGATAATTCTTGCCAGATATGCGGCAGCCGTGTGGGCGAAGGATCACGCGCATGTAACGCCGCACTGTCCAAACTAAGAATTGCGATGAGCGGCCCAGATGTTGCGGTCAGGAGGGTGAGGAGAAGATTCTCGACACGTATTCGGTGGACTCGTCAACCAAAGCTGGAGTCTCTCGACCCGCTCTTCTTCAATGGCTTCCCATCCCTGGTTCCACAGTTGCGCAATTTATTGGCGTACAGCACGGCAGTTGGTTTTGAGAAACCCTTGCAGGTTCGAAATCCAGACCCAGTTGCAGTCCTCATCGTCGTCTTCCTCATTCGATACAATCAACGCAGAATCTACCCAATCGAACTGGTCGATCGGTGTCTAAACCTAGTTTCTGCTGAAATCTTCTCATGACTGTTGGTGGCAGTGAAACCTGGTAGCAATCGTTAACGCTGGATTCTGGAAACCATCTCTGCTCACAAAACACGAATAGGATCAGCTTAGGTTAGTAAGGGAATTGGTTGTTGCGAATTCGACCGTAGGCTTCCTTGTGTTCCAGTCTGAAATTAGTGGGAGATAGAGCCTTTCAAACAATCAGCGTCAGATCGGGTTCATCGTGTTTCTGTTTCCTCAAGGTGATCGTCTTCGATTTCGCAGATAATTCGGCTTCCGAACCCCTTCATCTGTTCCAACAACGTGTGCGCGGAGTCAAGTCAGCGAAGTCGTGAACGCATAACACATCCACCATCTCTCCTTGGCACCATGTTTTGCTTCTTCGTGTGCGATGAACAACGCGACGTGGTAGCCAGCCGCCCAGTCTATGGCGTGTGCGGCAACTGCGGCGCCATGCTGAACGACGTGGAGGTGCGAGACACGTACCGCTTCTGCTTCATCCCGGTGTTCTGGCAATACAAGAATCGCGTCATGTGCCCTCGCTGTGGAGCTCAATACCGGAGTCACTACTAGACACTCTCAACACACACAAACCCTAATTCACTCACTCTCGTGTATTATTTTCTCATGGTTTTGGGATTTTGAAGCATGATCAGCCATGTTTGTTTTACTGAAGGAGGTGCTGGGTTCTTGGAGCAGGTGTACATTTTTAGGGTTATACAATTCTTAGACACAAATTAGATATATAGACTTTTACAAATATATAGACTTGTTTCAAAAGTTTTTTACTTTAAAAAAGTTGTATTGAAAGCAACCTGCAACTTGAAGTTTGGATTACAAACGTTGCAGTGCCAATGAAGCTTCCACTAGACTATATTTTTAGGTAGTATATATGGAAGCAAGACTAATGCAATCTTGTCAATATCTTTCTTGTATTCAAATCTTAGTTCAAGATTGTATAGCATCTTTATATTTCATAGTGGTTATTTTAATTTTTTTCCATCTTCTAAATTTTTATTCTTCTTTTTTCTTTAGTGACATCTAAATATATTGTCTTTTAGGTTTTTTCTAGTTTTATGTCATTGATAGAATGATTTTTATAAAATCAAAATTAATTAATATGGAATTTGATATAATCTTATTTTTGATATAAAAAATAAAAAGATAAGACCAATATAATAATTATTATTATAGTATTTTAAAATCTATTTAAAGAAAATGACTCCATTATTTTTTTTGAATAATTTTTTATTTTTTTTCTTTATATTGACTTAATAAGTTTATGAAAATAATTTTAGCCATGTAACTAATGTGTTACTAAAGATAAGGTAAAAAACATGCTTTTGTTTATTTTCTCAAATTTCAAAGTAAATTATTTCTTTTAATAAATTTTAAATATTTCAAAAAAGTACTTGGTAATAATAAACTTTAAATCTTTTGTATTTATTATGTAACAAATGTCTAAATTAAATAAATCAAAGCAAATAAAAGTAGATAGATTATGTTTAGAAGATAATTTCATCCTTAACAAGCATTGAAGAAGTTTCATAATAGTGGATTAGGACATTAGATTTATACAAATATGCCATGTGGCTATTAGAATCTATCTAATAAATTTTATCTTTTTTAGAAGCTACAATAGAAGCAACTTACAACTCCATGCTTAGGCCACAAGTCTTGTGTTCTTTAGGAAGTTTCTTTAAAACCTTCTTAGTAACTAATAAGGTAGTTAAATCATTTTCAATAACTTAAGTATTTCAGCATATTTTTTATAAATATATAAAATGTAAATATATATTTATATATATATATATATATATATATATATATATATATGAAAATAGAAATTAAGAAGATTCTAAGTGTTTTCACACAATTTGGCTCAAAAATGGAATTTAAATTATTGTTTTAGCTAAAGATTTTCATTGATCCAATCCAACATATAAGTCAACCTAATTTCGACCATTGATGGATTACAAAATCAAGAATCTTCTTTTTTTGTAATCAAGAAGTGTGGTATGTAATTATGCCATTAAGTTTTATGTAATTTTGTGCTCCTATGAATATTAACATATAGATAAAATTCAATTGTAAGAAATCCATCATCTTCAAGTGAGATTTTTGCAACCATTCTTCTTTATTTTTGCTTACCTCCAAACCCTAGCTCACACATCTTATCTTTTGGCCCTACTTTAATGACTCCTTTAAGATCTCTCTTTGCCATTGGATTGCATAGACCTTATGTATAGTATCAAAATGTATTGCAATTGTGTGAGGTTTGAGTGGATGGATGACTATTGCAATTGGAGTATAGATTATATAAGAGTGACATAATTTTGAAACAGACTTCCAAACAAAAAATGAGTGTTGCTCATGAGCTTTGAGCCATATGTTAAAGGTTGCAATTAAATGCACTATTGCAAGCTGTATGTTAGAGGGTGCACTAAAATACATCACTACTTTATGTGTGTTGGGAGTTGCAGTAAAATGCTTGGCTGTAAGCCGTTTGCTAGATTATTGTACAGCCATGGCAAAAGTACATGTTGTAGATTAATACTTAGCAAAGGCATATGTGGTCTAGATCCAAATTTGGCAACCATGTATGCTAAATAAGCGACTGTGAAGTAGAATTTGAAACCTCCCTACACTTAGTTGCAACATGTATAATATAATTTGATACTTGCTTATCTTGCACCTTTGATTTAACTATGAAGCCAACAAAAAATTTGACACCCTCTCTCTCTCTCTCTCTTCTCCTCCTCTCTAATGCAATACAATCATATTTCAAAAATTGAACAATCTTATATTCCATGCTTTGCAATTGCAATTGAATTGCAAATGAGGAGAAGATAAGAATGATTAATATTTCATTTCTAACTAAAGTTTTTTGGATTTTTGACATGTTGCCCATGCAAATCCAAAGATTACCACCATGCTTCTCAATCAAAGCAAGAGAAGAAAATAATGAGTCATCAATCCATAATCAGCTGTTTCATATGTACAATTCTATTAATACACAATTAAATTTTGATAGTTTATGCATACCTATTTCAAGTACACTGAGTTTTATATGTTTTTCACCTCTACCCATCATAAATAGGATGCATAATATTGCAAAAATATTCTATTCTACAGATTGAAAATAGAGGGGTGGTCAAGAATAGGTAGGCTATCTTATATATGAAGATAAGAATGAGACCATGTTTAGTCTTACTAATGCCTTTTTTGAATTCTAATCTTAGTTTAAGATTTTTTAGCTTGATATTTTTAAATAGAAATTTTAGTTATTTTAATTTATTTTATATCTATTTCTTCTTTAATATTGCTTGAATGTACTATCTTTTAAGTTTTTTTCTAGATTTATATCTTTTACATTATATAAATTTGATTATAAAAAATCATCAATGTTTTATAAATTAAATTAAATTTCTAAAAATTATTATTTTTAATTTTTTTTATAAATTTATCTCATTATATGTCTTATTAAATAATTTATGTTTATAATTCTTTGTCTCTTTTTATTCTATAAGATAGTACATATTTTTGTATACTTTATCTACGCAATGATTTTTGTTCTAATATTCTTAAAAAAAAACTTAATAAAAAAAAATCTAACAAACTTACATGTCTTATGTAAGTTTTCTTTCAACTTATATTTATTTTAAAATAAATTTTGAGAAGTAGATGGTTGGCTTAAGTTATGTATGATTCTGATTACCTTTTGTGTTTTTGTTTTAATAACTTAATAGTAAGTGTTCTTATAAAGTAAAAATAAACATATGATAGTTAATTTTTATGCTTTTTATTGAAGTTTTAAATAATAAAATACATATTCAATTAAGATTTAAAATACAAAAAATATGAACTATTTAGATCTAAATTTTTAAAAAATCGGAAAAATTTTGCTACAATTTACAAAACTTGAATTTTATAATATTTGAGATTTTAGTATGAACAAAATCTGAAAACTTCATTAAAAAAAATAAAAAGTGCTATCTTTTTAACTACACATTACATACACTAGGCATATTACATAAGTAGCAATATCTTTCTATATATTTTATTTATTTATTCTCTTATTTTTTAATCCATAATATTGACAACTTAACAACTTGATACCTTAACAACAACAATTACATGAAAAATACCTTTTTTATTCTTGACTTTTCACTTCCTTCAAAAATAAAACTTAAAAAGTTGGTATTGGTATTTGTTATTTTATTATTTTATTTTATTTTATTACCTTCACTTCCTTCTAAAAAATACTACTAATTTTATTTTTTGAAAATATTTTCATTCTCTCTCTATTCTTCTTCTACTTCTTCTCTTTCTTTTTTCCTGCTTATTTTTGTTTTGTAATTGCATACAAAGAACACGAAACTTGCTCAATCCCCTTCAAAAACGTACATTCTTTAGACAACGCTAAACGTGAAGAAACCCTAAAAACTCGTGGTGGGTAGATGAGGAGGGTTGTGGAGATGAGTGGCGAAGAACCGCAAGTGTAATGTGAGTTCATTCATTCCACTCCATTCCATTCCATTCATAAGTTGTGAATAAGAAGCAGATCCGCAGATGTTTGCGGCGCGTTGCAGTCCTGGTGTGATTGCCATGGCCATCGGCAGCAGAAGCAGGAGAAGCGCTCTCGCTCGCGAGCTGTCTGCGTCGTCCATGGTGCTACAGCCAGCCAGTCGGCCAGCCAGCCCCATCCTTCTCCGGATCTGCAGTGAGTGAGTGAGTGTTGGGTCCCATGGGTTTTGCACAGGCTGATGCTGTTGCTGCTGCAGAGATCTGGTGTAACGTCGATTCCGGATGCGTCCCAGCCTGACAAGGGCGTCATCGTCCAATGAGGCCATTGTCTCATCGCCCTGATGGGGAATCATTGGCATCTTGCGCTGCCTTCTACAGCTGGTGCTCTGCTGCGGGTCACATTTGCTACTAGGCCAGGGACAAGCTTGGTTTGTCCGTCAGTCGACGTCGTAATCGATAATGAAACAAAAACAGGCCTGGAAAAAAGTAAAAAGAAAAAAGAAAACTATATATATATATATATATACATACAAAACAAAAACCACGGAATCCTCCCGGGTTGATATCTTGCTCTGGCAGTAACCTCGGCGTCGAATTTTCGACTATGGAAAATCCTACACCCACCACGCGTCGGTGAAGTTCCGAGCGTGGATTTCACGTTTTGCAATAATCTTGTCAGTTGGGTCTGATTGCCAAGGGTTGTGTTCGTTGGTAAGTTATTACAGGGATCGATTCCGTGAGGCCTGCAGGTGTGGGTTAATGTGCTAGTGAATCTGGAATCTGCACGAATGCGCATAAATCGTGTTTCTAGATGGTTTGAGAACTGTTAATCACACGGTCACGCGGGTTTAGTCAGTCTTGTGACAGCCACTGGCAGCATTTCGGAAACCCAAACATGAGGATATTAGCATTTTCCAGCTCATAACCTCGAGAATCGTATGTCACATAGATCTTGGGAGCTCAAACATCCTTCAAAGGAAACAATCTGAAATTTATAAATATATATATATATATATAGATATAGAGACATGCATAAACATACATATCTGTCTCTTTGTGTATGTCTATTTGTGTGTATGCATATGTGCGAGAGCATTTGTATATATACTAGATGTTTTCGTGTCATTGTCACAAAAAGTGTGAATCAAATGAAGAATTTTTTGAAAGATATGTTGATGAGCCAAAAAATATTTTTCATAATTTTTCTTAAAAAAATAAAGTAAAAAAAATATCCAGTAGAAGTTTCAGCTACGAAGTGAGATATAGCTAAATCCATGCTGTTGTCACAAATACTATGCAAAAAATTAATTAGTTTTATTTAAAGAACTACTTTTTTAATATATATATTTCTATATATGTATATATATAAACCATTAAAAATCATTAAAAATCATAAAATTGGGCTAAATGTTTGTCAAACCAGTGCAATGTATTACAACAAGAACACAAAATTTCATCCTCCCTA